CCCTCCCTCTGCCTGACCTGGGGTTTCCCCTGGACTGGGGGGATGTGCTGAGCTGCCCAGTGCCGGGGGAAAAGGTGAGCTGGGCTTTTCCCTGTGGTCCTGCTGAGCTCAGCTGGGCTCAGGCCTTGGAGAATAAGCACAGCCTTGACTCCAACAATTCCCAGGTCGGGTCCCACCATGCTCAGGTTCAGCTCTACTGCTGGAGGGGCAGCAGCGCTGCTCTGGTAGGTGCCACGTGTAGTCTCAATATCTAGATAGGAATAGTAAAAAGAATATTTTATAGTACATCTGGGACTTGAAAAATAAGAAAAACCTGGAAACAGAAGGAACTGTTTCCATCAGATGAGACCGTCGGCTCATTCCAACCACTTGAAACATACTTGTCTTTTCATTAATTTAAACTTAGAGGAAGAAAAATCTCCTTGCTAGGCAAAGAGGCCTTTGCAAACACGGGGATTTACAAACCCGTTCCTCTTGCATGCTCTGAAGCCCCGTGGTTTTCCCTCTCTTTGTTTCCAAGTCTAAAAATGACAGGAAGGTCGACGTGACCGTGGCTTAAAAATTGGGACCATGAATGTGACAAATGCTGCAGCCTCACGTGGTTCTGCTTCCATGCTTTTTTTCTCCCAACAAGAGCTCCTCTGGAGGAGGAGGAAAGGCTGACCCACAGAGCCCTTCCATAGATGCTCTGATAACTCCTGCTTTCTCACTTCAGCAGGGCCATTTGTCTGTGTGCTTGACATTTGTCCTCCGTTTTTGTGCCACCTACTACAGCTCCCTCTGATTGAATCACTGCTGCCTGTGTTATTTCTCTGTTCCTTGACTTTTCCCAGTGAACTGAAAATACTTTCATTCTTGTTTGCTATTGATCAGATAATCCACAGGTCTGAGCTGCTCTGACGTCCCCAGGACTGCACGTTGATAGACTGGAAAACAAATACATACAAGGAGGAGTTTGTGCTTCTTTCCCTCTACTTAATGTTTTAATATTTGCAATCCTATTTGGATGTGTTACAAGTGACAATAATGACATTCCAATGCAGGTAGGGTGTGTTTTCAGGAGGGGAATTGTACCTGAGAAAGCAAAACAACTGGTGATTTCTTTTTAAAGCCCCCTCTGTTGTGGATAAAATAATTGCAACCAGTGTTTACTGAAAATTTCCCACAGCTCAGAAGGCTTGGCTCGGCTGAGTCTCCCCCAGGAGCTGCTCCAGATCCTTCTGGAGCACCTGAGAGCAGTGGGATTTCTGAGAAGAGAGAGGTGGGTGAGCCTGAGCTTAGAACTTGGGTTATCCATTAGATCAGATGTCCATGCAAACCCATCCCGGGGTTATTTCTCTGGGAGATCATGAATAACAGGAGCAACTCATAACATCTCCCACGTTTTCATGCAGCTTCAACCAGGACACAAATATTTCTTTCTCTTTATACTGTTATTACCACCCAGATGACTACAGAGACACAGAATTATACAACTATTTGCTTCTACAATTGAGCTGCATTTTTGCTGCGTGATTTATAGACCTGTGACGAGGAGATCTTTCCCTAATAAAGGGTTTTTCCAAGTGAATCTGCATCACTTTCATAGGTCATACTCCTCACTTCAGTTCTTTTGCCTGCCATTTGCTATGGCTGTTAAACAGCTTTAAAATTAAAGCATGATTATTCAGAAATCACTTCATAAAACATTATATTCCATGTGCCACTGCTTTTGCCTTTATGTCTGACACCAGGCAGGAGAAACTGCTGAGTTTGAACCAGCAACAGCAAGTTCATTATGGATAACTGTTGATTAGATAGGAAAGTGAATTATAGAAATGAGATCAGAAACACGTAATTGGAGATGCTTTGGAGAGGGAGGGAACGTGCAGCTCCCGGGATCGGGGTGGCCCTGGGATCATGGATCCATCTTCTGCTGCTGCAGACTGACAAATATAGAACCAATTGTGGAACATTTCACTGCTGGTACAAAGCACATTCCCTTTGTTCAGCTCCTGGCAGATGAATGAATCTGTGGGAAATTGTGTATTTTAAAGACAAAAGTGTGTTGGTGATCCTGCAGGGTGGGTGCTCTGCTGAGGGGGAAGGTGGGGCTTTGGCTGTTGTAGAATCATGGAATGGTTTGGGTTGGAAGAGACCTTCAAGTTCATCCCATTCCACCCCCTGCCATGGGCAGGGACACCTTCCACTGTCCCAGGTTGCTCCAACCTGGCCTTGGACACTTCCAGGATGGGGCAGCCACAGCTGCTCCATGTAACCTGTGCCAGGGCCTCCCAGGGAAGGATTTCTTCCTCATAGCCCATCTAACCCTGCTCTCTTTCCATTTGAAGCCATTCCCCCTTGTCCTGGCACTCCAGGACCCTTGTAAACAGTCCCACTACCTGGATAAACACTTTAAAATAATTTATTTAATATTTCCTCCCTCAGGTTGATACTGCTGGTCTAACACAGAGTATCTCACCCCTACCCCAGGGACAGGGCAGGGCCAGATGCCCTCACACACATCCCAAAATGGGAGAAATGCTTTTATGGACCAAGTGGTCCTTCCCAAGGAGTGAGAGGGAAAGCACAATGGGAAATTGTAGCTGCCAGTGGCTGCTTTTCTTAGGATAATGAAATGCTAAAATGATGTCTCTGGTCTTGGCTCTTCCAGTGTTTAGTTTAGCTATGACTAGTTTAGCTCTGAGCACTGATACCTGTGTGCAGGGTGGCACTGGATTATCTGGGGGAGTCAAAGTATGAGAAAGTTTGGATCTGGGAAAGGATTTTTTTACTTGGAGTTGGATGGTAATGAATGGAAGCAAAAAGAAGGAATTAAAAACAAAACTTGCAGTTAGGGAAGAATGGGAAAAACTTGCTTTCTGTGCCTTTATGTAAGTGAGCTACAAAATGGACCATTCAATAAGTAGAGATCAGGGATATTGGGAGCTGGAAAAGAGGCCGTGTCCTGTTCCCATAACCATGAAAATGGGGAAAGGAAAAGGCTGATCAGCAAAACAGTGAAAACATTGAAAAATAAAGTGTCTGGGGGGACTTCAGAGTTAACCTAAAAGAGGGAATGTTCTGCTGGAGCTGGTGCAAGGTTAAACCTGTACATCTTTCTCTCCCCCCAAGCCTGTTTTTTCCAAGCCTCATTAACCATTTTGCTGAACATTACAATCATTTCTCTTCCACCAGGTTATATCACATTTTTCAGCCTTTTAGGTGCAGACCTGAGAATTATTGATCCAATGAATCATCCCGACTTTGGTGCTCCTGCTGCTGAAGGCTTCTGGAGAAACCAGGATAGGGGCTAAACATTGAGCATGTTTTTTTGAATATTCTCTAAATTAGGGACTGTTTTTCCACGTGGAAGAAGCAGCAGCAGCACAGGAGCATCACCTCTTTGCAGTTTTGATGGTACTGCACGACATTTAAGGGATCTAATGATGCACAAACACCAAAAAAACCCCAAAGAGATATTTCCTTTGTTCCAGTGAGGTGTCTGTCCCATTGAGGTGTTCTGTGCTCAGGACCTGAGGCATTTTAGTTTGGCATTTGATTTGCTAACAGGGTTCACTGGGCAGGCAATGGGATGAGCACGAACAGCTTTGACTTCTGGGGTTTGTAAGCTGCAGCCAAAGAGGGTTCATGAGGAAGGAATCCTTCCCTGGGAGGGTGGGGAGGCCCTGGCACAGGATCCCAGAGAAGCTGTGCCTGCCCCTGGATCCCTGGAAGTGTCCAAGGCCAGGTTGGACGGGGCTTGGAGCAACCTGGGCTAGTGGAAGGTGTCCCTGCTCATGGCAGGGGGTGGCACTGGATGGGTTTTGAGGTTCCTTCCAACCCAAACCACTCTGGAATTCTGTGTTTTGTATTTTAGTGTCCCAGGACCTGCAGGACAGCAGAGGCTGCAGCCCCTGGATGAAGACAGGACCAACCAACTCCTGCTTGGAAGAGCCTCCAAGCCAGGCAAGGCCTGGGAAGCAGGGATGCTCCTCCCTGCTGGTGGGTCGAGGAGCTGCAGAGAATTTGTAACAGAGTCCAGAACGAGACATTCCGAGTCTCAGGTCAGTACTTGAACATCAGCTTTCTTTGTCTTCTTTCTCATGTACTTCATGTTTGATTTTCTTAAAAAAGCTTCTTAAAACTGCCAAAGAAACCCCACGTGACATCAGCCTTTGACAGGAATACAAGAATATGCTCCAAATAATATAAATTAGTCTTTTAGTTATTAGATAAAATATAGCGATCAAATAATTAAATACAGTCTCTTATTTATTGGATAAAATATAGTGATTTTTTAAAAATGCCAAATAATTATACCAATATATATTGGTGAAAAACACCATTACTAATTATATTGTAAGTGCCTTTTGTGTTTACAGAAGGAAATGCATGATCTTAACACTAAACTGGGATTATAAAACTGCATATGGATATTCAATTTACCACACATACATACTGGCAATGTACTTAAGGCAAGGTATTTTAGCAGATCTGAGCTGCTCTCTGTCAGGTTCAGGAGAAAGGAACTGTAGGATTTATTTTGCAGAAAAATGTTTTGATAGAATTTGATGGTCAGGGCTGGACTTGGTGATCCTGGACGTCTTTTCCAGCCCTAATGATTCTGTAATACTGAACAGAACATCCCAGTTCACTTCTTTGTTTTGTAAGAATAAGGAGACTGAAATAGTTAATAATTCTGAATAAAATTAACTCTCCTTCAGCAAAACAAACAGCCCCACAAAGCTGTGGTAATTCTCTTGCAGCTTTCCAAGGCAATTAGGCTCTAATGGCTGCTGAAGAGATTTTCATGTCGTTTCAAACACTGGTTGGAACAAATGGAACCTACAAATTTTTTCTCATTGTGACTTTATTATCTGAAAGGAAATGACTAATTTGGAGTTGGTTATTATTGTTTTATAGCCCATGAAATATAAGTATCAAAGTAAACATTTCCATGAATTTAAATATATAATATACAGAATGTGGAATACAGAAGCCCTGGGCTTATGAGCCAGATTTCACTGTATTATTATATTTATGCCAGAAAATAAATGTTCTCTCTTACTAGGCCTGTTTTTCACAGCAACTTGTTCCCTGAGGTCAAATGTGTGGTGAGCAGAGGAGGCTCAGTGAGCAGCACATGGAATCATGGAATCACAGAGTATTTGGGTTGGAAGGAACATTAAAGATTGTCTCATTCCCACCCCCTACCATGGGCAGGGACATCTTCCATCTCTACATCCTCTGCCCACGAGCTGCACCACGAGCAAATATCTTCCTAAGGTGAAGCTGGTGGTGCTGCTGGCCAGGATTTGAGAGGTGAGGGCTCATCCCAGGCATTCCCAGGTAATGCAGTTTATCCAAATATTCACCACCAGCAGCTGGTCCCTTCTCAGAGGCACGTCTGTACGATAAAAAAAAGAGCCATAATTCATTTAAAGCTGACCTGTATTTAAGAATTATTGTACATTGCCTTTCAGTGAGACAGCTTATCCTGAAATTGTTCTTATTTGCTATCTCAATTTGAGTGTGGGAATGAATTATGACATATGAGCAACGTGTGAAAGAATGGGCTCCTCACCTTTGAATGGCTGTTGATTAAAGCAGATCCATTAATAGGGCAGGAACGAGAAGCACTTTTTCCTGTGTGGATTCTCTGGCACATAATGAGGTCTGGATTTATATCACAGCCTTTTCCTTCCCACAAATGCCAGCATAAATCTGGCTGCTTTGCTGTCTCCCTCCAGCCTGGCCATTCCATGGGAGCTCTGATCTCTTCCTGGACTTCCCTGCAGCTGCACTGCCCCAGGTAACTCCTGCACCCCCCCAGCTGCTGTTCCTGCCATTCCCCCTCTCCTGCCCCCAGCTCTGCCCCACAGGGATTTTTCCAGGCTCTTTTGATCCTCATCCAGACCATCTGTATTTCCTTCCCTTTCAAGTGCAGTAAATCTGTTGCTGGAATCAGACATCCCTGTCCATCCAGAAGCCCCTTTCCCCCCAGAAATGCTGGAAGAACCTTCTCTCCATCCCCTGTCTTGCTCTGCCAGACCTTCCCTCCCCTCAGTGCCTGCCTCCCTCCCTCCCTTTGTGCCTCACACCCTCCTCATGCACAGACAGAGACTTCCCATCGTGTTGGTGAGCTGCTGGTGCCCTTTGCATCCCTTTGGAAATCTCTCCACTCTGCAGCTCATCCTGCTGGCCCTTTTCAGGGACAGGACAAGCTCCAACCTCTGTTCCCTGCTCTTTCCCTGTCCCAGTCTCCCACCCTTTGCCTCTCCCTGCTCTTCCCCCTGTCCCTTACCCAGGGGATGCACAGCTCACCAAGTGTCTCCTCTGCTCTATTTCTTACAGTGCCAAAAAAAATGAGATCCTTAATCCTGATTTCTGGGCTCGACCATAAAGAATAAGGATTATGATCATTGGTGCCATTCTTATTTATTCCATTACAGTATCTGTTTATAGCACATGAGCCTCATTGGATCGTAATGATACAGATAAATTTTGGCCCCTTATTTTTCATAACCACTTGCAGGCTGTATATCATCCATTTCCCCCTCATTTAGATACTTGCTTCTACTTCAGGAAAAATAAAAGTATCCCAGTTGTGTAGGTAATAAAGCTGGTGAAACAAACTCAGAAGAACCTTTTACAAAGGAATTTCATTGTGATAATTTTTCATGTGTTAAAAGAGGAGCCTGCTGGCTTTCTCTAGGAGGTGTTTTTTTGGATTTTTTTACATCCCAAACTTGTAGTCATGTGGAAGATTTTTTTTTTCAAGGGAACACAGAAGCATCTCTGCATTTATCAGCTGAATTATTTGAGAAACTGTATTTTATAATTTAATGAGGCTTGAAGTTGTGCAGCTAAAACCTGAACAAAAACTTCAAACAGTATGAATCTGAATTTTGAAAGTCCACCTCCCTGCAAGTCTGCTGTAAATACCTACAGAACACTGCAGATATTGTAGGGCTGGGACAGGCTTGGCTGTCACTTGTTTTCATGTTCCAGAAATGTCCTGTTCTTTTGGGAGACTGGGGTGGGGGATCAGCAAAATTACAGAATGTTTGGGTTGGAAGGGACCTTAAAGATCATTTATTTCCAACCCCCTGCCATGGGCAGGGACACCTTCCACTAGCCCAGGGTGCTCCAAGCCCCGTCCAACCTGGCCTTGGACACTTCCAGGGATGGGGCAGCCACAGCTTCTCTGGGCAACCTGTGCCAGGGCCTCCCTACCCTCCCAGGGAAGGATTTCTCCCCATTATCCCACCCATCCTGTCACTCCAGGCTCTTGTAAACACTCTCTCTCCATGTTCCTTGCAACCTCTTCAGGTCCTGGAAGGCCACATTGAGGTCACCCCAAATCTTCTCCTCTCCAAGCTGAGCATTCCCAGCTCTCCCAGCCTTTCCTCCCAGCAGAGCTGCTCCAGCCCTCTGATCATCCTGGTGCCTCCTCTGGACTCTCTCCAGCAGCTCCATGTCCCTCCTGTGCTGTTCCCCAGGGCTGGAGCAGCTCTGCAGGGGGGTCTCACCCTAGGGGGCAGAGGGGCAGGATCTCTGCCCCTGCCAGGGTTCAGATTATCTTCTCAGAAATCCCTCAAGAATATCCTGTTGCTCCCTCTCCCCACCTCCCCTTATCTCTCCTTTCCCAGTCAGTTTACATGAATTTACCAACGAAATATTCTGAAATTTTTTTTACTTTGCATGATTAACAAGGAAATTGGAGAAATATTTGGACAAGCTGGAAATGCTCGTGTTGCACGAGAGTGGGAAATCATCTCTGTGCTGGCTCTGGAATATTGTTCCTCAGCTGCAGGCCTTGGGAGAGCAACACAATTGTTCCCATTCAAACAAAAGGAGCCTAATGAAAGTATTTTAATTTGCTGCTCAGCTATTCAGAGTGAGAGGAATGGCCATGCAAGGTGTCCTTGGAGACTGGGAGTGAGTGCAGCAGCAGAATATTCACATTTATTCACACTGAGCTGTTGTGTGCGTAACATTGGGGAGGTTTCTTTAGCCTCAGGTTTCATTCCCTCCACCTTGAAAAGGGCCATTTCCCTGGGTTTTTTAAACACCTCCAGGTTTAGTTGTGCTGCTGGTCTCAATGTACTCAAACCAAGAGGCTCTGTGAGCTCCATGGATGGTTTGGAGTGGACAGATCTACTGGAAAGTCACTCCAAGAAGCTCCTTTAAATGCCTGTTCTGCTACTCTGAAAACCTTTCTGATGGTGTAATTATTTTTTAAAAATGATTTCTTTAAAGATCTGCATTTATTTTGTCACCAAAATGATTTAATTTCTTTTACTTTTCAAAACAAATATACAAACTCTCCGAAATCCCCACAGGACTGGGAATAATTTGGTGATGGAAAGAGCCTCTGGATAAATCTGAGGTTACCCCCAGCACATGTGGAGGGTCAGAGCTGGTTGAAGATGTTGAAAATTACAGCACTGAGTAAAAATTTCCTCTGAAATGAGCAGTCCAATTATCAGCCCTTTTCCTGGTCCCTAGGAATACAAAATGGTGCAGTACCAATTTCAAGTAAATTCACATAATCACATGTCAGACTCTGTAGGTGACAGCAGAGGAACCAACAAGAATTAGTCTTTGCTGCTATAATTTCATGTACATGTCAAAGTACAGCACATCATATACAACTTTTAATTCAGACAAGCTAACTTTTTAAGCACTTTTATTTCTGCCTGTCTCATTCCCCCACACCTCTGGCAGTGCCAAAAACTGCTGCACTGTTGCATCAATGGCCTGACAATATCACTTTACCCAAAGGAACATCCTGTGCTTGTATGAAAGAAGATATTTTCCCTTTACTGAAATGCATCCCTAAAAAACATATTCTGAGAGAAGTTAAAAGAAAGGACACAAAATGCGAGAAGATGTCCATGCTGAGAATGTAGATTCTGTTCCTGCTTTGTCCCTGTAATGCCTGAAGTCCTTGTGCTGCTGCTGTTTGTGGTAAATTACATATCACCTCTTTTCTGACTCTTTTTACTATTATCTCCTGTTACCTATTCTTCTTTACCCTACTCATCATCTTCCCTCGTCTTCGTAAAATGGTCTAAAAGAGAAAATTACCAAGTCTGGGGGTCAGATGAGAAGAAAATGAGGTGCTGCTTGTCCGTGTGCTCAGCTGCTGCTGGGTGAGGCCAAGAATTCTGGGACCTGTGAAACAGCTCCCACAGAGGCAATTAGTTCTGATGGATAGTAAATACCTTGCCAGTTATTTTGACGTGACTTTTAAAATTTGGGGTCAACTAATACTTCTTGAATGGATGAAAAATCCAGAAAAAGATCCACAGCACTCCTGGGAGCTGTTTATTTTGTGTCTGACTACATATATATATATTTTGTGGAATATGGAGAGCCAGGTTTCGTTCATTTTCTTTAAAGAGGGAGTGAAATGGTTTGTTTCCCCAGTCAGGGGAGTGCCTGAAGCTGTTGGGTGTCCTGCTCAGGCCTGGCTGGGGTCTGTGCTGACACTGCTCATCCTCCTCTCAGGGCTGAGTTCTGTCGGTGTCCCCCCGGACACCGTGGGGGTGCAGCTGGTGGAGCACCCCGGGAGCCAGCACACCCCTTCTTAGCAACCAGAGATTGAAACAGCTGTCAGGAAAACACTTTCGTAGCCACTTGTGGTGGTTAGAGTGATTGGCTCCGTGGCACTGGGAGCATCCCCTTCTTGGATTGTTTTCCATCCTTTGCTATTCCCGAGCCCACAGGGGTCTCGCTCCTCTCCGAGCTCAGATGTGCAGTGTCTCTTCTCTCTCCCTTTCAGAGAAGCCAGGAGTGTTGCAGGAGAGCTTCCACGGAGATATTAGTGAGGTAATGAAGGACAGAGCCTCCTGGAGTGGCAGAGCCCGTGCTGGGAGCCCGGCGCTGCGGTGAGGGGGCTGCACAGCCACCAGGGAGAGGAACCACCCCGGTGTTCCCTGAGCAAAGAGCTCCCAGAACGTCTCACAGACATTTGCTAAATGCAGATAATGATGATGGAGCTGGGCTGAGTTTCAGCCTGAGCCCTTTTCCCCTGGTAAAATAAATGAGGGCTATTTTTTCTGACCCTGCTGGGTGTTAGTGTAGCATGAAAACCCTATTTATTGAAAAATGGGTTGCACAGAGAGTTCTGGGGCTTGATTTGACTCTCAAATAGCGAGAAATAGACTGTGGATTTCCTTATAGCACTTAAGACTAGATGGGTTAAGAGTGAATTATGAGCTTTTTAAAGGAATGTTAACTTGAGATAATGTAACTTCATTGAGAAGCCTTGGAATATACTTTAAATAGATTTTGTGCTCGGTAGCAGCCTCGACTGTATCTCGTTACAAGTGGAATTGAAAACAAAACTCGTGTATCCTCAGTGGGAGTAGCCAGTGTAGTGTGACACAGCCAGATTGCTGTTTGTGGAGCAGTTGCTGCCTGCAGTCTGTCCCTGAGGCAGGAGAGACATGAACCTGGGGATGGCTCAGCCACAATCCCCCATCCTCCATGTATGATCTCTCTCTTTCCGGTGCTGTGGACCCCAAAACCACCCAGAAATGTTCTTTTCATGGTGAACACATTAAACACCTCCTGCCTGGGGAGGATCATTGGACTGTTGCATGGCTCTGGCAGTGGAAGCCATTCCCCCTTGTCCTGTCCTTCCATCCCTTATCCCCAGTCCCTCTCCAGCTCTCCTGGAGCCCCTTTAGGCCCTGCAAGTGGCTCTAAGCTCTCCCTGGAGCCTTCTCTTCTCCAGGCTGAACAACATCCCCACTTAATTTCCATCAATTGCAGGTGGAAGTGCAAGTTTTTAGGTTTAGATTTGACACCTGTGATCTCCCCCTCAGCCATGGACAGTGGGAGCACCCACCAGGCTTTGCTCTCTCCTGCTGTTACTCTGTTTGCTGCAGCTGCTCTGCATTTCTGCCTCATATAACATGATTGTAGCCTCCAGCCTGCACAATCCCCCTCCCTAGACCTGTGTCTTTACCCTCTTTAATATTTAGGGAACAACAGGCTACGTTTCTTCCTCAGGAGTACTCAAAACATGAAGGAAGGCCACCAAAAAGAGATGCTATAAAAAAAAAAAAGAGTGAAAAGCGATAACGCTGGAAATCTGTTTGTACTATTGAAACGATGCCCATTTCATGGTCTAATTGAATTTATCTTCTCAGGTAACATGTTTTGTGCTGTACAGAAGCAGACAGCCATTTTCTCACAAGCTCCTTGAGGTAAAAGTTTGTGAGAGCTGTCACAACACATTCACAACACATCGTGTTCCGGAGCTCGTTGCCGGCGGCACACGGAGAGAACCAGCCCTGCACCCAGGTACGTCCTGCCTCGTGCCAGCCCAGGGGCTTTCTCTGCCTCAGAGCAGGGAGTTATCTGCCTGCTGACAGAAATGATGCCAGGCAATCTTCCCCAGAGTCCCAGTGCTCGGTGCAGTGCTGGGGAGGGGAGGGAAGCAGCCTCGTTCCCTGGCAGTGGGAAGGATCAGGAGCTCGGTTTGTTGTTTCCTTGGGCTGTTTTGTTAGAGGTGACATTTTTCCAGGAAGTCCAGGGAATGGGGGGGGAGTGGTGAGGGTGTTCCCTCAGCATTCCTGTGCAGAGAGCAGTGGGTGCTCCTGGCACAATTCCTGCTGCTCCTGGCGAGCCATCCTGGCTCTCCAAGTGAACTGGTGGCGCTGGAGCCTGGCACTGTGTGCTCCAAGCAGGAGTGGTGGGTTGCTGGGAGCTCTTCTGGTACACTGAGAGAAGAGAGAGGAGTCTGCACCATTAAGGAGGAGTCAATGACTCCGGGTTCTCCAGCCACAGCAGTGTCACACTGTCCATGAGGGCACAAAGGCAGCTCCTTGCTCTGGGGAGGATCAGTCCCTGTGGCAGAGCAGTGGTGAGATACCCTCTGCTTCCCTCAGGAAACTGGAGCTCCTTCCCCCTTCCTGGAAACAATTCATAACTGGCATTAGTGGTATAAATCACAGTGTCATGGAATTGTTTAGGTTAGAAAAGACCTTTGAGGTCACCAGGTCCAATTATTCCCCCAGCACTGCCACAGCCACCCCTAACCCATGTCCCCAGGGGCCACATCCACGTGGGTTTTAAATTCCCTCAGGGATGGGGACTCCACCACTGCCCTGGGCAGCTGTGTCAGGGCTGGACAGCCCTTTCCTGGAAGAAATTATTCCTAATATGCAACTTAAACCTCCCCTGGCACAACTTGAGGCCATTTCCTCTGGTCCTGTCACTTGTCACCTGGAAGAAGAGATTGGCCCCTGCCTGGCTCCAGCTCCTGGTAGGGAATTGAGTAAGTGAGAAAATGCCCCCCAAGCCTCCTTTTCTCCAGGTTAAACATCCCCTTCCCCCTCCCCTGTTAAGTTTTGTTCTGTTCTGATGAGAATTCAATCAATGCCTCACACACACAAACGGTGGGTTTTTAGGTGCTTCCAGGCTTGGGTTCACCACCGTTCAGGTTGAACACAAAACAAATAGAGAGAAGGGACTTCATTACTTGCACTCTGGAAGCGCCTTGACAGCCATTTAGAAAAATCCTTCACATTGCCCAATTTGCTGGGTTCCTCCTGTCCCCCAGGAGCAGGCTGGGAACAGAGCCATCCATCTCCAGCCCATCCACGGCCCCGGCACGGAGCCGAGGGATCAATAATCCCAAGGCTTTACCTAAAAGGGTGGAAAACATGACGTGACCCAGGAGGTGAGAGCTGGTGGCTGCGTGTGCCAGAGTGGCTGGGCTGCAGTTTGTGTTGAGAACCAGATGATAAAGATCCCTTTATTTGGCGTTTCTTACAGGGGCTTTAACGTTGACCTTATTCTCAGTGGGAAATGTGGCCTGGTGCTACATGGACAATGTCAGGAGTAGGTTTAAGCTGTGATTTATTTAGGTCTTATTGCCTCCTTCACGTTCTAGTTTATATTAATTGTCCATTAATTTGCTCTAAAGCCTCTATCATCTTCCTTTTGACTTGCATTCTGTGAAATATCAGTCCTTTGGGTCACTTTGTGGTTGTTGCAAGGGTGAGCAAAGTGGGCATTGGGGAGGCTGTTGTTCGGTGGAGTGTCTTACACAACCATGGGGTTCCTTAAGCACTTGGACCCTGCACCTACAGCCATCAGGAGATCCAGGGAGCCCCACTCCTGTGTTCCTAAAGGACAGAGAATTATGGAATGGTTTGGGTTGGAAGGGACCTTAAAGATCACCTAATTTCAACACCCCTGCCATGAGCAGGGACACCTTCCACTAGCCCAGGTTGCTCCAAGCCCTGTCCAACCTGGCCTTGGACACTTCCAGGGATGGGGCAGCCACAGCTTCTCTGGGCAACCTGTGCCAGGGCCTCAACCCTCTCCAGTAAAGATTAGGCAGAGGGGATACTCTCTTGATATTCAGGAAAATGCACTATTTATCATACATTAGGAAAGAGTAAATGTTGGATTTTACTGTGGCAGATTTTTGGTTTGTCCCCCAAATTCATTGCTGGATCAAGCTGGTGCTTGCTCCTCTTGAGTCACACAGTGGGGTTTTGGCACCTGCTGCCTTAACATGTGTGTATTCTTTGTGGCTACAATTTGAACAAATGTTTTGAAATTATGACAGAGAAAATGACTTTTCTTGCCCACATTAACAAGGAGGTGTCGTGTGTATTAATTACTGAGACCAAGCTGCAATTGCAGCTGATAAACACATGGAGATTAAGCTGCAAAAAGAGAGGAACACTGACAGTTTCTTAAGGAACTGCCATCAAAGATGAATAGTAAAGGGGAGAGGGGGAAAGGCTGGACAAAATGAAAAGGCAGGGACTCCAGGGCAGGTCCCCCACAAAACACAGGGCTGGCTTTCTTTGGAAGTGTGTTTGCAACCAGGAAGAGCTGGAATGGTGTGTTTGAAAAATACCCATTTTAAGAACAGCAGCTTGAATTTTGGTTTCTCTGAGACTTGGTTCAAAGTTATGGGAATGGCAGGTAATTCCCAGCTGGGGCTGTTGGGAGAAGCCGTGGTGACATTTCAAGCTGCACAGAAATTGTGTTGCCAGACAATTTGTTACTACAGCCTGTTCTGTTTGCTGCTGTTTCTCTCAGCTTCACATTTTTATTGTATTAAGAAATTTCCCTATTGTCATTTTTTCCCTCGTTCATGCAACAAAAACTCAATCAGAGTGACATCAGCGAAAGAAATTGGGTTTTTTTAAACAGTCCCAGGCTGTCCCTGCTCTGGGGAAAGCAATAACTCTTCTGAGAGCTGGGGGGGCCTGGTGGGGGGACAGAGCAGGAACAGCCAGCAAAGTGTGTGGGGCCACAGGGGCATCATCCACTTGGACAACTTCCTATGGCCCAGGCAGTTAACAAATAATTGGCATTACACCACTGGGGTGTAACACACTTCTTGCTTGTACATTATCCTAGGGAGTGTTGTTTTGTTGTGTTAGTAAATAACTGTTGTGTTTAAGAAATTAATTCACGTGGAAGGATTTATTGTAGCACACAATTAGAGGAAGAAAAATGACAAATTTGTTCCTTAGAGTGCCTTGAAATAATTTCTATCTCATCTGATTAGGGGAAAAGGCTGCTTTGTCTTCTTAAATTATTTTGTCTCTATTTAAATAAATCTGAACCCTCGTGTGCCTGCAGGAATTACAAACGGCTGCTCAGGCCTAAATCAAGTGTTCCAGGGTTGCTGCATGAATCTTCCAAGGCAATAAACTTTTGGTACCTTTGACAAGTTTTATGATCCCGGATAGGTGCACTGTGCTAAGGGCCATATTTCACAGGAACGCATCTGAATAGATCAGATCAGTTTTTATATGCTAATAATTTGTTTGGGTAGTTTAATACCAAGAGCTGTAATTCATATCTATCACTTTCTTTAGACAGTGGATAATTTCAGTAACGGAGAAAAATCCCTTTAGGAATCCCTCCAAGATTGCACTTTTCCATTGAGCAATTAAGGCAAGAATAAACAAGCCAAGAAATTTTAAAAAACATTGAATCAAAGCTCATCAGCTCCAACTCACGGTCATTCCCTCTGAAGTTTCCCTTTCCTGCTACATTTTCAGTTTGCTGAGTGTCTGGGCTCTTTTCCATTTCCCGTGGTAAATTCTTGGGCTGGCAAATCAATCTTGCTATTTAGACACTCTTCTTGCCTAGGATAATCTAAATGTTCCCTTCCTTAGATTTCCCTCCAACTCCCACTGCCATTCACGGTGTTTTACCTTTTCTAGTCCATTATGTGTTGTGGGAGCAGCTGAAACTCAATTTTGCCACTGCAAAGCAGCTGATGCTGCCAGCAGGAGCAGTGTGGGAATGGGGGGAATGCTGTGGTAGTTATAAAGCCAATTGAGAACTATTTGGAGGGCAGGAATGACTGAAAACCAGTCTAATCTTCCTAGTTTTGTAACAACTCAAAATTCCTCCTTCTAAACACAAGACGTGCAAATGGCCAGGAAAACTCACCAGAACCTGCAGGGGTTTCTAAGTGTTTTGTGCAGAAGAAAAAAAAGAAGAAAATGAAAAAAAAAGAACAAATTGGGGGAAAAAAATTGAAAATGTCTAAACATAGAGAAGACAAATGGGGCTAAAAGCCTATTTTTATTGTTTATCTTGTAAAAATATTTTCAGTGCCAGAATGGAAAATGTCCTTATGGTAGTTTATCATCTGTGTGGGTGTGGGTTCCTGTGAGACCCCACCCTGATACCTGTGCTCACAGACAGGTGGGATGTTATGGAGGTTATGAGGTAAATTATCTACACTTCCTAATCATCTGCTTGTCCTTTGGAATGAAAGAACCCTCATCTTTTAAACCAAAACCCAGCTGGCTGCTGCTGCATGGCCAGGCAGGGGGGACTGATGTGGTGTTACCAGGTGAGTCAGAAGGCATTTAAATCATTAAATCATGCAGTGGAAAGGGAAGCAGTGGCATGGGAATGCAGCAGCAGCTCTTGGGACTGTGAGTATTGTACCTGGAAAACTGTGGAAAATTACTTATTTCACACCTTCTCTGGACTATTAAAGAGGCCCAAAGAGTGGTAACTGTATTAGGGATTAATCCTCAGTATGTTGAGTTTCCCTTTTTTACAGAAAGGATGGAAAAATGGAAGGGCTGGAGCCTCCCCCAAGCCTGGCTGGGGAGTGGGGCACAGTGGGGACCCCCATCCTCCTCCTGGGGCCAGCAGGTCTCATGGAGACTTTATCTTGTAGTTACTTGTGCTTTGGGACGAGTGTTCCAGCCCTGCATTTAAGGCAAGCCACGAAATACCATAAATTGACTATTATTTGGTTTTCTGTACCTTGATAATTGGGACTAATCGAAGCAAATAGCCAGTATTTTCTGGTGGGATGACCTTGGGAGCAGCAGCCCAGCTAGTTGTGTCTTCCTCCAGGGAGGAAAGTTAGAGGAATTACTGCCAAATCATAATAATAGCAGCAGCACCCGGGCTGTAATTCTCCACTCTCCTACTCCAGTGCCACCTGAACACCAGCGTGAGGAAAACAAGTCATTTATCAGCTCTAATTCCTTGGAGCCGCCGGGAGCGCGGGGCAGAGCCGGGAGGAGCGGGCAGAGCAATCTCTGCCTCGGCCCAGCCATTAAGGAACCTGCAGGTAATTTTCCCATTTTGGCAATTTGTGCCTGCTCAGGCCCAATCTGGCTGTGCACTAATATGAGTTGCTACAGGAAATGGCCCCGTTTCCTTTTTGAGTCGCTCCGAGGTGTGAGATTTGCTGCTCCCGCCTCCGCTCCCTAACGAGGCATCCGACCCCGGCGCTCTCCGTGTCCCCGAGGTGCCTGTGCACCCCCAAATCACCCACCCCAGCTCTCAGCTTGGCCTATTTTTTTCCAGAAAGTGAGGTGCATGTGATACCCACAGAAATGCTGAGCCTTCTGCAGCTATTTTGGTTTCTGTAAAATCGAGGAGATCTTACAGGGAGAAAATCAGGGAGATTTTACAGAGAAAATCAGAGAGATTTGACAGTGGGAGAGAAAGGTAAGAGATGAAATAGTGAAAAACTTTGTAAGGTGGAGTTGGTCAAAGGAAAGGGCTGTCCTAAAGCAAAGGAGAGAACTTGGACGTCAGGAACTGTTTGCAGCAGCATCTGGCCAGGAAAGCAGTAGGTGGAGAAATCTGGGCATCAGACACATCATAAGCACTGCTGGTGTGCAGGGGGGTTTGTTAATCAGTGGGCATATGAAAAAATCATGTTTTGGGACTGAATTCTATACAAAGAGTGAGTGATGGAGGAAGAGGAACAAACTAAAGAGTTGGATAGAAAGACCTCAGCACAGGAGAATGAAGCGAATGAGAGGTCCCTTCTGGTTGATAGGAGTTCACTTCTCGGTAAAAGAAGTAATCCTGGACAAAAATGAAAGGAACTTGTGGTTTTGTCCAAAAAAGAGGACTGAGAGCCAAATGTCAGCAGGTTATGCTGGTTTCTGTGCAGAGGGAAGCAATGAAATACTGGCCAATGTGAGATGGCTGCACAAGGGGGGATGAGGGACCAGTGACTTCCAGCCTGTGACATCACAGCTTGGCCTGGGAGAGGGAGAAATGGGTAACCAGGAGCAGTTACATCCAAAAAATCTTACCGAGCAGACCAAGGAGCTGCTGTGACACATGTTTAGCACAGAAAAGGTTCGAGTGGTTCTGAAAGCTGCAGATCTGCCAGCCAAGCCCTCACCCGTAGGAAAGGCACTGCAGCAGTGACTGGAAAATCCAAGTCTGAGGGCAAGAGGGTTTGGCTGAGGAGAGAACAGTCTACACTGAGCATAAACCCCCATAAATCTGGGATTAAAACCACTGAAGTGATTTCAGCTGAGTCCTGGGCTGAGCAGGGCGAGGAGGAACAAGCTTGGCCCAAGGTCTGCCCTGCTTCGGCCAGCTGGGAGTTTTCTTCACATTCCCACTTAATTTCCAAATCCCAGTTCCCTGCAGCCTTTTGCAGGCAGCTTGGCCAGTCCCCCAGGCTCTGCCTCGCTGTCCTGCACTTTTGTCCACTTGCCTACATCCCCTTTTGCAGAGAAATTGGGAAAATCGGGATGTGTCGCAGCACCTGACAGGATCTTCTGAGCATCTGGAGTGGTGGGAGAAAAGGAGGGACCTTATGCAGTAGAAATATTAGTAGGAAAAATAAGGGTAAAGAATGATAAAATAAGAATAAAGATAAATAAAATAAGAACAAATAAAAGGGTAAAATAAAATAAGAACAGGGAAAGGAGTCTGACTCCTTGTTATTAATCTACAGATTGGAGAATATAAAGTAGCAAGTGAAGGTATTTTTGTGGAATTGGTCCTGATGCCAAACCTGTATGAGATGAGCTCTAAGGAATTCCTTTGATTAGGGAGAGGATTAATGTAAAAGGTAGAAAAGTAGGGAAAAATCCTGTGTGAACAAATGCCTTATGCAGCAGAGTAAGTAAGAAAGACATTCACAGTATATTTATTGCAGTGATTTAGGTACAGAATGGCTCAGTAGACAGTGTGTGTGTATTTACACACATGGAAGCTGTGGATGTTTCTACATGTAATTATCTAGGAATATGCTATAAATCTACAATGGCTGATAAGGGTCTAAAATGATTGTCATGAGTTTAAAATGCCTTTGAACCTAGTGGCTTTGCCATTTAACTCAGCATTTCACCTCCAAGTGGAAGCTGTTAAAAACCTCAGAGGGCAGAACAATCCAGCTCTGCAGAATTCAAAGGCAATCCAGGTGTTGGGGGGGAAACAGGAGTGGTAAATGCAGGTTTTCCTTTAAATCTTTTTCCAGGACCAACCCATCAGAGCAAGCTGGGACTGTGTGGTCCAAGGCCACTGAGTTCCTGAGGCTTTGTGGAGGAGTTTGCAGCCCTGGAGCTGCAGGACGGGCTGTCCTGTACAACCCATTCCAGCCGGGAAGTCTGGGCGGAAACCATCCTGAGGACAAGGCTGGCTTGGTGTAAGTCATTTTATCTGTCTTTATAATGCTCTGAAGGAGGAAATGTTGCTCCTGATGTAGCTCCTGAGGGCTGTTACTCCCAGCAGCCTCACCTGAGCTGAAGGACGGGGTTCCCAGGGGGTGGCTGGTGCTGAGCCGGGAACGCGCCCGCTGGATTTATGGAGCAGAGGGGGGTTCCCAAGGAACCGAGGGAACCAGTCACCTGTATTCCAAGTCAACAGATGAACAACATGCATTGCAAAGGTCACTTTCCCATAAAACTTGGGTGACAGGGAGGTGTTGCCGTCACCTGCCATGACCCTGCACCGAGGGCTGGGAGTTCTGGGAGTTCTGCTTTCCTGCACTCCTGCTCTGGGGGAGCTGCAAACCTCCCAGGACCTTCTGAGGCTCTCTGTGCTCAGCTGGAGGCATTTAGTGAGGAAAGTGCTGCCTGAGGCAGGGGTTCTCCGTGCCAGAGCTGAGGGGTCTGACTTGCAGGATCACAATCATTTGGGTTGGGAAAGATCTCCAAGATCATCGAGGGCAACCCTTGTCCCCCAGCCCAGAGCACTGAGTGCCACATGCACTTGTTCCTTGGACATCTCCAGGGATGAGGACTCCACCAGGGCAGCCCCTTCCAATGCCTGACCATCCTTCCTATGAAGAAATTCTTCCTGATGTCCCACCTGACCCTCCAGGCAGGGGTTCATCTCACCTGAGAAGGGCTGAACCTCACTGGTGACAGACCAACTCACCTGTGCTGGGCTGAGGAGTGTCCCCAGGATGTGCTGCTCCACAGTCACTCATCCCAGGGTTTCTGTCTTGGTCCACTTCCCGAGCTGAGCAAAGGGAACAAGCTCATTTAGCAGTGGCTGGGTGAGTAAATCAGTGCTGGCACTGAACACTGTGCTGTTTGTCACCTCCCCTCTGCTCCTCCCCGAAGAAACACAAGATTCTCACCTTCAGCAAGTCGTGTCTATTAAAATCTGGATGATCACATGAAGGAGCTCAGGTCCTACAACGATAAAATAAATGTCTGCTGCTCCAGAGAAGCCAGTTGGTGACCTTTCCCTCTCAGCTTCCCTGGTGATTCACAGGTTTTATTTTTTGCTAAGTACAAAAGCGTTTTGCCTGGCAAACACTCCTTTGCTGAAGGTGAAAATGAATAAAACGAGCCCACAGGACCCCGAGGGGAGGGTTAGTCTCTCACAGTTATCACTATTTATAACAGCAGCAGTGAAGGGTGGGGAGCTCTTGGGGGGTGCAGGCAGTTCCCTGCCCAGCCCAGTTCCCCAGATAATTCCCCGTGTTATCCATTGTTTGGGGTCCTGGGTTTGCAGCAGGAAGCTTGGGGAACTATGGGAACTTCACAGCCTGATTCACCAGCGTGAATGGTAGGTCTGCTACTTTAAATGATAGGTCTGCTACTAGAGGGCATTTGGCATTTGACTCTATTAAAAAATTCATCAAGAATTGATACACTGCATTTTTCATTCCAAAAATTGCAATCAGGTAGCAAAGGCTGAGTATTCATAGGAGAGTAATATCTTCTCAGCGTTCATTAATCTGAGTCAGTAATGAACTGCAGGTAAAATGGGGGGATAATTCAGAGCAAGTAATTTATTTGGTTATTTTTTCTCATCTTCTCTATTATTAAATATCCATGAACAATTTAATTGACCTTCCTAAATTTTTCATTTCCCTTTCAGAGCTGTTTTTGGTAAATGGTTTGCAGGGCTGCTGAGGGGTCGGTGTCAGGACCTGGGCAGGTTCACCAGAGCTCACCAGGAAGAGCAGTTGGTGGTGGGGGCAGCTGGTCCCTGTGCCCAGAGCAGTGCCAGCTGACAGAGCCCTGCCCATGGGGTTAACTCCTTGTATTTCCCCTTCATCTTCCTCACCCAGGTCATGTCTGATGGGGCAAACCCCTGAAGAACAGCTCATTCCTTTGTCCTTACTGTTACCTTGAACATATTTTGAGTTTCTGAGCTGTCTCCTCAATCTCTATTTGGTTTAAGGCTCAATTCCCCAACTTTCTTTCATCCCTTGGTGATGTTTTCAGGGTCTCTGATCTCCTTCCTTGTCCTTTGATTCCCTCCATTTAGTTCACAGCTACACTAACTTACAGTAATAAACCAGATTATATTTCTCTGATTAAGTCTCACTGGGACTGAACCCAGCAGAAGGATTATTTCCAATATCTTGATGGTCACATTTCCATTGACCACCCCAGAACATTGGCCCATTCCCAGCTCCCTTCCCCAGTTATCCCCAGCCTGGAACCACATGACTGATTCTTTCAGCCCAGGTGTGGGATCTGTGTTGTTTCTCTTGAATAACAAGCTTTCTTTCAAGATTATTTCTGCAATGTCAAGCCCCTTCTGAATTTTAATCTCATCCTTCCCCTCCCAGTGCCAGCAGCCGATTTAACAAGCGTGGCCCTCCTTCGTCGTGCGAGTCGTTAATGAAGAAATTAATAATGTGAGTTCAAGGCAGGTCTCTCAGAAACTTGATTCATCTTTTCATTTTAACAAAACCATTTTCTGGAAAGGAATGGTCTCCCAGCAACCTTTGTAGGCTGTGTGGATGTCCCCAAATGCCATGTTGATAAGCCATCAACATGGCTGTGAACCTTTGGTGTCCTGAGGGAAGAAATGCAATTGGGATGGTGCAGCCCAGCCAGTGCTGTTTGCTGCTGCCCACACCTTCAGGATCTTGTTGCTTTTATGGGGAGTTTGAGTATTTTTCTGGGAATGGATGGTTTGTGAGCTGGGATGTAAAATATCCTTTCCTTCTTCTGCAGAGAGACAATTTACAAGGGCCTGGAGTGACAGGACAAGGGGGAATGGCTTCAAATTGATGGAGAGTAGGGTTAGATTAGAGACCAGGAAAAAATCCTTCCCTGTGAGAGTGGGGAGGCCCTGGCACAGGTTGCCCAGGGAAGCTGTGGCTACCCCATCCCTGGGCAGGTTGGACGGGGCTTGGAGCAACCTGGGCTAGTGGAAGGTGTCCCTGCCCACGGCAGGGGGTGGAATGGAATGATCTTTAAGGTTCCTCTCCACCCAAACCATTCTGTGAGTCTAAAGACATGGTTATTTTCCCCCCCATCTTGCCCTCTTCATCCTTCCCCAATAATAGTTAAAATTCTGATATTGATTCAGGCAGTCCCTTAAGTATGCAAAGATAAAGCTCATCAGCATAACCAATTTGCAAACATCTAAATTAGCCAGGCACTCTCCCCATTCCCTTTGCAGGAGATTATAAACTTCCCTCTTTGTTAACAGCATTATTGTGCCGACCATCTGCTCTTAGTTAGCCTTTTTCATGAAGATTGAAGCAAGGAAAGCTTATTAAACACTCAGCTTCCTTGGTTAATGGCTTTCCCGCTCCTTTTTCAGCCTTCCTTTATTACTAATGTACTTATGGAATGATATCTTGTTAATTGGCCCACGCTTTGTACCTGACCCCTCCGCCTTCGCCGCCGCACGGCTCCGTGGAGAAAATGCTTGTGGAAGGGTTTGAAATGCTCCAACTCAGGCCTGAAATTCCCACCTATTAAATCTATGGAGAACAGAGACTCAGTTTTCATCCTTCAGTGGTATTTGTGGCTCAGGTCTCTCATATGAAAGACAAGGTGGTGGCAGCGACCTGACCCTGCTCCCGGGTGGGATCGATGGCAAAAAACCATGAGGGCGACTGTGGGGATTGGAAATGTTTTCAAAAATATGCCATTTGTTCAAATTTCATTAACACTTTTCCCAGGTTCTCCTCTCCTGACTCGCCCTGTTCTCAGTGCATCATCTACATTATTTCTTAGGTCTTTAGAGTTCTCTGGGGATCCCCCCTTACTGGTCCCCAGTCTCCGAGTAAGTGTTCTCTGTCCTTGGTTCTTGTAAAATAGCTGCTGCAGCAAGTTTCACCTTTGTAAGCGTGTGACCTCAAAGGCACAAGAAAAATCCTCCTCAATTACACTGGACAGCTTGTAAACAGATTTCCAAATTATTCCAGCCCTAAGTAAACACACCAGGGCTTGAAAAACCCAGTTGCAGTCCCAGAGCTGTAGATCAATAGAGGCCTCTGGTCTGAATTCGCTCATGGCACAGCAATTTAGATAATAAGATGGGGAACATAATAACATAAAATTTCAGTGTTGCAACTTCATTTTTTTTTGCTCTCTCACCAGAGACTAGGGAAATGAAGAGAGCTCTGATTTGCAAAGCTAAATAAAACAGAAGCGCAGAGGAACCTGGCTGGGCGTGCTGACCTTCTTTTCAGTTTTCAAGCAACTCAAAACTGAATCTTGCTTAGAACTGGCCATTATCCTTGTTTTCTCATGCAGAGCCATTAACCTCTAACTTACTAAAGCAAGCAAACTGTTATTTACTGGTACAAAAAAACTCCCAGCCTTCCTCATTTTCTCCTGAAACATCTGAAAACGGATAAGCTTTGGCAGATCCTAATAGTTCCAACCTGCATAAGGTACTGGGAGAAAATAAAAATGCACACTGCTGGTTACATAATGTGAAATGGCTGAAATGCAGCAGAAATTTGGAATCTATCTAAATTCTTGGGAGCTGGAAAGAGGAGCCTTTGCTGCAGGGAGCTGCCTTTTGAGGGGGGAGGTCCCCTAATCCCAGCCCTCAGGTAACGGTGCCTGGAGGGAGCTCTGAGTGCTGCAGGGAGCACCAGAATTGGCTCTCGGTGTCAGGCTGCAGGAACCTGTTTCCTGCAGCAAACCAGGCTGGAGAACACTTTGCAGTGGGATCTAACCCCAAATGTCCCTCCAGTTTTCCCAGTCTGAAGGGGTGTGTGAGTGTGGTGCAAGGCACAGGCAGAGTGAGCAGAACAGGAGACAAACATTGTCGGGACTTCCATTAAATTAAATGGAAATAACTGTTCCTTGCAAGCATTGCCCTTGGGCGGAGCAGTTCCATGTAGTAGGTGACACATGTGTGGCATGCAGCACCAGCACACACAGGGGGGGATTTTGGGGGTTGTCCTGGACACAGCCAGGAGTTGAACTCAATCCTTGTGGGTCCCTTCCAACTCAGGAGGTTCTGATTCTGTGTCCAGCCCTGGCAGGGTGTAGTCCCCATCCCTGAGGGATTTAAAAGCCCCATGGATGTGGCCCTTGGGGACAGGGGGTAGTGGTGGGCAGGGCAATGCTGAGGGAACAGTTGGACTCAATGATCTCAGAGGGCTTTTCCAACCTAAACATCATGTGGTGCTTCCTCATTGCTCTCCAGGTAGCCCAGTTTCCAGGGAGAACAATCCCCATCTTCCAATCCAAACTGTGGGAAGGACGGTGGAAAAGGAGGAACTGGAGACCAAAGGTACAATTTTGAGCTCCCACAAGAAATCCTTACTTCCAGCTCTGCACATCTCCAGCCAGTTGTAGCTGGGTTTTTTTTCCTTAGCTCTTTCTTTGTAGCTCTTTGGTTGAGAAGAAGAAATGAAAAGCTCAGTCTGGAGTCTCTAATTGTGAGTCAGTCGCCCACAGGCAGAGTGTTCCTGGTCCACTGCTGTTCGAGGGGACTGGAGTTTCCAGCCTGTTTCAAATGTAGAACTTCTGGCAACAACTGCAGCCAGTGCACTGCAAACTCCTGCAGCAGGTGAGCAGCATTTAAGAGGCTCTGAGAAATCAGAGAAATCAGGTTGTGTTTTTTAAGCAAGTCTCTTTTTAGACAGAGGATTGAAATATCAAGCCAATTAAAATGCCAAGGAATTTTCAAAACACAGACTTAACAGAGAAAATATGACTTTAGCAGCAGACGATGTAAGCAAATAACAGAATTTTGAGTGCTGGCACCAACTAAAAGTGGTTTATAAATGAGGGTTTTTTTTTTCTTTTCATCCATTCCTTCAATCAGTCACTCAATGAAAATGTAACTTCCAGATCAGTGAGTAAATGGTTTAAGGTCTGCCCGTGGTGGTGGGGAGGCCCAGCTCTGCAATGGGAGCATTCATGCTCCAATACATCATGGTATTTTCTGATATATAAACTGAAGAGCAAAAAGACAGATTGTGGTCTAAAGGTCAGGATAATAAAATAGCAGGATTTACTGATTCCCCTCAGAGTTTATGATCCGAGGAAGATCTCTTGTTTCAATTGATAAGAGTTCCAAAAAGCTGTATTAAACTTTGAGGGAAGAGGAGCCGCTCCAGGGTTACAACTGGTGTGATCCACTCCCCGCCTGCCTCCATCTCCCGACAAATAATTAACCCAAGACTGTATTTTTTTTTTTTTTTTTTTTGAGGCAGCTCATTCAGGGTCAGAAGGAAAATTAGTTTTCCTCCTCCCCACAGTCTTTTCCCGGTGTTATTTACAGGCAGTGCAGTTTGCCACCTCCCTCCCAGCAGCCCTGGGAAATGCCACCGTGGGCGCCCAGGCTGTGACGAGACACGTCCTGTGCCAGACAAACCTTGTGGAGCCCCGACAGCAGAAATGCTGCTGGTTTGTCTCTTGCCCTTCTCACCCTGGAAAAATAAAGACCTTTGAGGTTTTTTTTTTAGTTGCTGAATTGGAAACTGTTAAGTTGTGCTGAGGCGTTGCTCGAAGCAGGAGGAAAAAAAATGGTTGGAAAAGCAGTTTGCTCGATAATCACGCGAGCTGGAACTGCCTGCTCTCTGCAGCCCAGGCGGCCACCAGCCATCAAGAATATTTTTTCTCCTGAAGGTCAATAAAAAAACCCTCACCTTTTTTTCAGCTTTTAGTTTTATACCGTATTGGAAAAGCTGAATCATGTTTTAGTTCAAAAAAAAAATCTTATTTAAAGTCTTTTGGGAGGTACTTAAAGCTTCCTTACACCCCCTTGCTACAGAGCCTGGGTTTTTATCACATTTATGCTGCTGGAGTGCCTCTGTTCAAGGGATGTTTCTTCAGGTGCAGGGGCTACAAGGAAAATCAGAATGATTTTCTTGTTTCCCTCGCTGCCAATGTTTTTACAGAGCTGTTGAACTGCACTTGCTGGGTTTTACCCTGACACTTTCATTTGGAGGCAATCTGATCTGCTCTGACTGGAGATTTTAAAGTGGAAGTCCCAGTGCACAGCAGAAACAAGGCATAAATTTCATCATTCATGACCCATTATCAGGGTTTTTTTTTAATCTGCCACTTTAGAACCCATGTGTTGTTCCACTCCAGGTGTTTTAACAGCTCATTTTCCTTTGGCTGACATTGCTGTGTCACGGTTCATGTATCCTCTGACATGAAGCTATCAGGTTCTTCCATTTACTCCTCCATTTTGCCCCTGCTTACAAATGAGGTTTAGAGAAGCTCAGACCTTTCTGTGTCTGAGGTTTCTTACTTGAGCAGTGTTGCCCTTTGCATTTTATAATTGCTGATCTAGTTTCAGTCGAGGGGCTGAACATCCCTGTAAAATACTGAAGAATGACTACTTTAAATAAATACTAGAAAGTAAAAGCTGTTTAAAATGCATCAATGGGCCTTTCACAGACTTTTAAATTCCTGTAAAATGAGAATGTCTCAAAATGTCCCAGTGCTTCTGTTCTCTCCCAGGATGCTTTGCCAGCTTGGCTTCAAAGCTAGGCCAGGATTTGGCCTGTCTGGGGTTTTTTGGTGCTCATCGTGTTTCTGATGTGTCACCTGCCCTTCCCACGCTCTGACAGAACCAGGACAAGAGGAAAGCAGGTACCCCAAGGCCAGGCTGCCAGCTCTGCTGGTGCCTTCTCCAGGCAGCACAAAAACTGGAGGTGTCACTGTCTGCATTAATATCTCCTCATCCCTGTGAGAGATCATCTGGTGCTTTTCATAAAATTCACATATATTTAATTTTAAACTGTGACAGGAGCATGTTTTCCTGTCTTTACCCCCACAGATCTCGCTGGAGGGGGAGCAGAGTGGTGCCCCCTCTCTGAGTGATGCTCCGTGACACGGGGGGAGAGCAAAGGCAGCACTTTGTCACTGCCGAGTGAGTCACTGCCGGGGTCCCTCCCCACTCCGGCTCCCTCCAGAGGGAGGGTGTTAGTCAGGCAGCCCAGCCCACGGCAACTGGGAGCACTGGGCGGGGGAATGGGAATGGCTGACGTCACCCCCAGGATGCTCCCAACAGTAAACAGCTTCCCTGCCTTGAGCGTGGCCACATCTCTACGGGTTGGGTGCTGGAAATGACTCACCCAGGAGAGAGTTGTGCCTGCGAATGGTCACCCAAGCTCTACGTTTGGGAAGAGCTCATCCAAGCTGAGCTGGGTCCCAGCAGAGCTGAACTGGTGCCAGCCCTGGTGCCTGTGGGTCCCCAGCCCTGCAGAGGCTGGAGGAGCTTGGCTGTGGAGGTGGGTTCCCAACCCCAGCCTGCTTCCCCTTCCTCACGGAGCCTCACACTGGTACTGCCTTCCTGGCACTCGTGGGAACAATATGTGTGTTCTTCCCAGGCTCTGGAGCAGGGGTTTGTGGCACAGACAGCAAAGGTGCCCCTCGTGTGGCTCTGCAAACCCTCAGTGCCCTTCACCGTCCCCATGACCTGCAGACATGGAGAGTGGAGGTCACAAAGCACTTCTGGGGAATTTGGTGGTAAAGATGTTGTGGAAATGCCCAACCTGTCAGAATGGGGCAGGTGGTGCCAGGGCACTGATTGCTCCGGGTACAACCCAGCTCTTCCCGAGCCAAGCCCGGAGCGAGGGTGCCCATGGCTGAGGCCAGACTGGGCTGGGGCAGCACTGGGGTCCTGGGGATGGGCAGTCACACTTTGTTAGTCCCCATGAACTGCAGTTCTGAGGCTGCATCCAGCCTGTCTGGGGATCAGCCCCTTCCCCCAGGCCGTAGGGGACAAGGGGACACAGCCTCAAGCTGTGCCAGGGGAGGGCCAGGTTGGACATCAGGAGGAATTTCTTCCTGGAAAGGGTTGTCCAGCACTGGAAGGGCCCAGGGAGGTGATGGAGTCCCCAGCCCTGGCTGTGGCACTCAGTGCTCTGGGCTGGGGGACAGGGTGGGGATGGGGCACAGGGGGGATCCATGGGCTGGGAGGGCTTTTCCAACCTCACTGATTCTGGAATAAGTTCTGGTTTTCCGCTTACAGGACAATGTTTTGCTGTTCTGTTACAGATGCAACATCAAGCCACAGTGTAGGGAAGAGCTGGGGAAGCTGAATCTTTCACAAGAATCCTGCAATTGGGGTATTTTCCTTAAAACCCTGAGGTGAGAGATTGCTCGGTCCCACTGACGCGTCACAATGTACCATGTGAGAGAGATCTGACCCCCCATTTTCATAGAATCATGGAGTGATTTGGGTTGGAAGGGACCTTAAAGCTCACCCAGTTCCACCCCTGACACAGGCAGGGGCACCTTCCACTAGCCCAGGTTGCTTTTTCATGCCATGCTTCAAATCACAAAGGAGTTATACTGTGATTGAATTAACAATAATTTTATTATGAATTATGAATATTAGACACATTGTCTCTTTTCCCATTTCTTCATTTTATTTCAGTTATGTGAATAACCTGTTTTCTGACAGAATTTGATTATCTTGTTTGTCTACAGCTGGCTTTGACTGCACTGCTGGTGGGTTTGCTCTGTGAATTAGATATCACTGAGATATACAAGTGCTGCCCTAACCAGGTGGTTCTGCCTCTGACAAAGGAGTGGAACATAGTGGAGTTTCAGTGTTCTATTATAACTCCATTATATATTACTTATATGGTACCTGTCTGTGGGTAATATATTTATTTTATTCCCTGGCAATTCTAAATTGCCTAGGGGGAAAAAAAGCTTTGTTTAAACAAAAAATGATAAAAAATTGTCATTTCATCCCAGAATCAACAAAGTAGCCAATTTGACCCCATGTTACACATTTCATTTTAGTTGCTATGTAATTTACTATATTTAACATAGAATAGCATTCAACGTGAAATATTTGACACAAAGTATTTCGATGAGAAAGAAATGTTGCTTAAGCACTGAAGAAGTAAGACAACTTGTGGAAGTTGATGGACAGTTTTGAAGCGTTTGTCAGCCTGAAATTGTGGTTTTTCCAAAAGGAGAAGTTCTTTAACAAACTTTTGTGCAGCTCAAGGTCAGCCCCAGCCACACACGTCCACCCTGCTGAGCATTTGGGCACATTGGACAGATTTATGTTCTGAAGGGAAGAAATTTATCCTCAGTGCCTGAACTACCTAAAATGTAGTAAATAGTAACCCCGAAAGTGGAGCTCCTGGTGCAGCCCTGGAGTTGTGAGACGTGATTTCCTTCCACCACCACCCCCAGCCAGAGTTTTTCTTTCAATTTGTCATCAGAACATTGCTGTAGTTCCTTGTTCTGTTTATGAGCATGGAATCCCACAGTGGTTTGGGTTGGAAGGGACCTTAAAGCCCATGCAGTCCCACCCCCTGCCCTGGGCAGGGACACCTTCCACTGTCCCAGGGTGCTCCAAGCCCCGTCCAACCTGGCCTTGGACACTCCCAGGGCTGGGGCAGCCACAGCTTCTCTGGGCAATGAGGAGCTTCTCGGCTTTCCTTTCTCTCCAGGTAGATTTGAACCTTATTTTCTCCTTTTCCAGCTGAGCCTCCTCGATGCAAATGAACACATTTGTGTGACTTCCTCCATCCCAGGAGTTCTGACATCGTCTCTCAGCTGCCCAGAATTCCAACAGTCCCTTTTTGTTGGCTGTGGATCTTCACCCCATGTGCCAGCAAGGGCTGCTGTGGGGACAGGACGTCCAGCCCGTGGATGTGGTGCTCTGGAAGAGCCACCATTAAATGTGCAGCACCTTCTGCTCTTCCCTAGTGGTTGGGAGCAGGGACATGGTTGGAAGGAAAGAAGGAGGAGGATGGAGATCTGAGCATTTCCACTTTCCAGGCAGGTACTTCCAAGGGGTAACGAGCCCTGCCCAGCCCTCCCAGCCCTGCCCTGTGCTCCATCAGCTCACCTGACGCAAGGCAAGATAGAGACTACTTTGCTTACCTCCTTAGCTGGGTGAGATCATTAGCTCCTGGATAAGATGGTTATGCTGTAATTTGTTGCTCCGTATTCTACATATTTTAGACCAGTTGATGACCTTTAAAAGGAATTAATTTTTTTTTAATATTTTTCAGTGCTTAGGTATTTTAATCTGTTCTTTACATTTCCTTTTAGGACCATATTTAAATTTTTAAAATATTTAATTAAAAGCCCACCTCTGTGTGCCTTAATACGAAGCTCTCATTTGATTTCATTTTATATCTGTGACATAAATCTTTGCTCCTTATTTTAGCTTTGTCTGTAATGCAACCACTGAGGCAAATGCTAAAGATGTCTCTGATTTTCTGTCAGGATCAGGATTTTCACAGAATTCAGAGTAAGGCAATGCTTCTTCAGTCTTGTTCTCACATTTTAAGAATAAAAGTCAATGAAATGCCACTACAGATATATTTTTTTGGTGCTGCAAATTGCATTTTGATGAATCTCCACTCCTTCAGCACTGCCAGGAAGCCTCCCTTGTTGCTTCTAGCAAGAATTGTCATGGTGATGCATTCTGTTGACCACATTTTTGAAACACAGATTGTTTCTAATTTTGTTTCTCCAATTTACTCTGTGCTGCAATATCTCTGGTTCTCTCTCTCACTCTCTGTTTTTTTGAAGATTTCTGTCACGACAGATTATAAATACCCCCCTGGTGGGCTCTGCCCTCTCACCTTCACATCACAGAACGTGCTGGCTGAGATCCCCTCCTGCCTCCTCCCTCCGTGGGTTTGGGCTGTGGCTCCAGCACCAAACCACGATGGGTTTGGCCGAGCTGGCCTTGTCCCCATGTCCTGGCACCCAAATGCCAGAGGGCACCTCACCTCCTGCTCCCAGAGCACTCGGCTGGCTGGGGAGGGGTCTGGAGGGTCAGTCCTGTGAGGAGCAGCTGAGGGAGCTGGGGGGGCTCAACCTGGAGCAAAGGAGGCTCAGGGGGGACCTTCTGGCTCTGCAACCCCCTGACAGGAGGGGGGAGCCGGGGGGGGTCGGGCTCTGCTCCCAGGGAACAAGGGACAGGAGGAGAGGGAACGGCCTCAGGCTGTGCCAGGGGAGGCTCAGGTTGGACATCAGGAGGAATTTCTCCCTGGAAAGGGTGGTCAAGCCTTGGCAGGGGCTGCCCAGGGAGGTTTGGAGTCCCCATCCCTGGAGGTGTCCCAGGAAGGCCTGGACATGGCACTGAGTGCTCTGGGCTGGGGACAAGGTGGGGATGGGGCACAGGGGGATCCATGGGCTGGGAGGGCTTTTCCAACCTAAATATTTCTGTGATTCTGTGACTGTAAAGGGTCCCTGTGTGCTGTTCTTGCAGGAGGGTGACTTTTTGCAGCCTCTACAGAAGATGTACTTCAGCTATTGAATTGCTCTCTGAATGCAGGAGAAGAATGGGAAAAACTACCAGGCCGTGGCGTGTGGGCTCGTTAGCCTTCCATGGCTAATTGTGCCTCCGTGGGAGAGGCCAGGCAGTGGCCTGAAGAGCACTCAGCCCTCAGAAAGGCTGGCAAGCTCTTAACTGAGCTGAGAGCTCCATGAAGAAATTAAATTTGGCAGTGAAAGTGCAGTACTTAGGTTAGTCTCAAGTAGTCTCGAGATATAAAAACGTTTCTGTGGGAGTTCTTGGCTGAGCGTGAAGGCTGAGAGAGAAGAGTCCAGCAGCCTGTGGAGTGCTGCTGCTTTATTTGTTTCATCCTTGTGTTGATGGTTTTAAGAGGCCTGAATTTATGTCCAAGCATTTATTGTGCATGCCTGGAGGAGCAGGGGCCAGTTCTCCCGTGGTGCTGGTCCCTTTGGGGCTGGTGATGCAGTCTGGGGGCTCCTGCTCTTCCTGCTTAGGAGCTGAGAACAAAGCCTTAAATGCAGAGGGAAACTGGGGAAACTGGGTGCTCTGGGTATTAAATTAGCAGAACTTCTGTTGGTGCTTCTGGATTCCTCCTCCACAAACCTGGCTCAGCCCCAGACCCCTGGGATGCAGCATTTGCCATCCTGTCCTGACAGCTGGGACAGATGGGGCAGGGACATTCCTGGGCACTGTGACATGGAATCTCAGACTGGTTTGGGTTGGAAGGGACTTTAAAGACCATCTCATTCCACCCCCTGCCATGGGCAGGGACACCTTCTGCTATCCTAGGTTGCTCCAAGCCCCGTCCAACCTGGCCTTGGACACTCCCAGGGATGGGGCAGCCACAGCTCTCCAGGGGACATCTGGATAAAAAATGCTGCAGCAAAACAGGCAGAGGAGGAGAAATCCTGTGATTCCAAGCCTCTCCCATCTCCAGGCAGTCCTCCCAACTCCCAAGTATGGTTGTTTGGTTGATTTTAGAGAACAGGTCAATCAGATCCTCCAGGCTCCAGGGAGGAGCCATCGGGTGTGACCATGAGAGCAGGGGGTGGGCTGGGGTGACACCCGGGTCCCCAGATGTGTGAGCACAGCCCTGGGGATGGGGACAGGGAGCAAGGGGCAATTTGGGCAGCTTCCCGTGGGCTCTAATCTGCTTTTAGCATCCATGTCTCCACAGGGCTGATGGAGGGAATTGCAGTTTCCAGCCATGGACAGAAACAGGAAAGCACCTTGGACAGCGTTTGTGGGTGTTGCTTAGAAAAAAACTGCTGTATTTCTGGGTAGAGAATATTATTTCTTCTCTTCCTAATCTCCAAAGGCAAAGCTGTCTGAGCTTTTCAAATAATAAACCCAAGCATATTTTGCATATTACATACCCAAGAATATTATGTTTTCTTCTGTTTTTCAAGAAATAACAAATTGAATTTAAGGAATGCTGCTTGCTTTGGCACAGTTTCACACAGACCATTCCGAAGGAAAGAAAATCTTTCAAGAAGAGGAAGATGCTGAAAGCTGCTGGGTCCTGCTTCCCATGTGCACATCCAGTGGTGTCCTGGCTCAGAGATCTGCAGGAGACAAACCCAGGGAGACAGAAAGGCTGAGCTCCACGTGCACTACAGGTAATGCCAGGCTCTATTGAAACAGGAATATTTTCTATTTGAATAGAAAATTTAAAGAGAAACCAAAGATTACGTGGGAGCACTAAGGCTTGGAAGACATCTCAATGGAAACTCAGCTTGTCCTGAGGGTGAGGAACAAGCACAGGACATGAGGAGCAAAGTCCAGGATATGGAGGAAAATGTTGGATTTCAGTGAAAGTCTTGATTTAGAAGGGGTGGCAATTCCATATATTTTATGAAAATTTCATGAAGTTTTTTAAAAAGTTACAAGTTTTGGCTTTGGCTTGAAAGGAATGCGAATGACTCCATCATTAATGCACAGCCTTGTTTGCCACAAACGAGTCCAGAGGAGCTTTATGTGCCCTGAACTCCAGCTCAGGAACACTGACACAGAGGGCTGTCATTCCCTGCTATTGCAGGAGCAAAGTCATCTCGCTGGGATCTGATGATTCCGTGGCTGCATTCCTGATTTTTTCCATCCCAGTGAACGCTGTGCCTTTATGCAAAACCACACATCCTTTATAGGAGCAGTGAAAACGCTGCAGAGCACCCCAGCAACGTGAGAGCAGCAACACCCTGCTGGAGCCACTGCCCAGCTGTGGGAGCGATGCCAGCATTCCCCACTGGAGAACCAGGGAGCTGGGGGTGCTTGAGCAGAAAAGCTGGATTTCCAGCTCGTGCAGGGAGAGGAGGCAGGGCTGGGCTGGGCTGTCATGGCAACGAGCAGGGCACAGATATCTGCACCCCACGGGCCTCACTGGCTGCTGGATGTGCCACTCACAGCGGGGTCGGGACCTCCACCAGGCTGGAGACAATGTCCCTCACACAGCCAGGGCCTGCTCCTGGCAGCCACCCTGGGGTGGGTCACTGAAGAGGAGAGGTAAAAAATACCTGGGGGGGGTTGCTCCTGATTCATGATCAGCCATAACCTTCCATCGCCACCACCAAATATTGACAAACACCTTGAATCGGGTGTTGTTGATGGTGGGGGATCATATTCCAGAGGTTCCCTGCCCAGGCTCCTCCTCAGATCCTTCTGTAGCTGTGTCCAGCTGTGCCCCTGCCCAGGGACCTCTCCCCATTCCCAGCTGGCATCACATTGACCCCCAGGAGCTGAAGGAGCCGCTGGGACAAATCCTGGCTGCTGCCAAGGCAAACGTGAGCCAGGGCAGCCCCAGAGCTGCCAGGCAGCAGCCTCAGCCTCTGCGTGTGGGGAGGGCTGGAAATCCCTGCAAATGGGAAATTAAGTGACAGTTAAATTCCTTGGAAGCGCTGGGTTTGACCCTCGGTGCTTTGTTCTGCTGAACTCTGCCAGCTCAATAATAGCATCAGGTACTCCTTTAAAACCTGGTTTGTGAACAGCTGGGATCAAAATAATCGTGAGTGACAGTTTTTTACACGTAGCACACATTTGGGCAATTCATGGATGTGAAAACTTTTTGAGCAACAATGACTCAAATTAAAAATATTGAAATATTTGAGCAGTTGAATAACTGTCATTATTTTTCTCTGATCTCATATTCTGTCCTTGTTAAGAAAAGGTTTTACATACATTACTTTTTTAAAGAAATGTAAGTGTTTTGCTGAGGAAATCATCTCAAATACGTACCACTGCTGAGCTGTGAGACCTATCTCCAAATCCTCCACACCCTGTTTTTAAAGTTGTTTGTTAATTTAGTTTGAAGTTATTTACCAACAAGAAGAAAGATGTTTTAGGAAACTTGTGGATATTGACAAGGAAGGTTTTAATCTATTTGGGTTTTACGTCTGGGTTGTGTTTCACTTGGATAATCCCCCACTCTTTTTCCCTGTGTCGTCCTAGAAAACATCCTCGCCTTCTGTTGGGTCCTTGTTTCATGGTTTGGATTTTCTCACCTGCCTTCACGTTATGAAGGAATTGATGAAAAAAATGTCAATATTTTAATTGCTTAAAGAGAAGGATATGAGGCTTATTAGGAGATATTTAGCACTAGTGGAGACGTTTTTTATTTGATAGATGTTTCCATTATTCTGTAAAAAAATCCTGTTTGAGATGTGTAACTGCAGAGTGTGAAGAACTAATTCACACCGTGATAAAATAGTTATGGAAATGAGCTGGGGAGGGATCATTGCTCTGAAAGATTACTTGGGAATGGCATCAATCACCAGGATCAGATAATGAAGCCCCATTCCTACACTGGGAAAGCAAAGCTGTGGTCCCTCACGTTTGAGCACAGAGAGGGGATTTACCAGCTTCCTGCAGGGATTTTACATCTGCTATAAATAGATGTCACAAATATTATTTTGCAGTTGGATTTGCCATTGTGCAGCATGGGCAAATTATTGGTTACCTGGCAAAACTCACTGCTCTGTAAAGGGCAGAACAACAATGAAAAACCCCAGAAATTTTGCATTTAATTAAAAATAATATACATAGTATTTTTAAAACAGAACATGTGTGTGGTATGCAATGAGTAAATTAGTAACTCTGAGACATATAAATACCATAGAATCACAGAATGGATGAAGGGACCTTAAGGCCCATCCAGTCCCACCCCCTGCCATGAGCAGGGACACCTTCCACTGTCCCAGGTTGCTCCAAGCAACCAGGGATGGGGCCCAGTAAGTGCAGGTGGATGATGTTTTGGGGGAAAGAGCCCAGGCATCCCCAGAGCTCTGGGAGCAGCTGTGGGACACCCACCAAGCACCTGAGAGGAGCTTGCACTGCAAAGGGGGGAAGCAGGGTTCAAATTGCCAATGAAATCTGAAAAACCAACTTAAATGGCAAATTTCCTGCAAGGGATGTCCCTGTTCCAGAATTCCTGGGACACAAGACCTGCCTTCTACGTGTAAATTTTTAGCAGTAATGCTTCGGGGAGTCCTCAGTGATGATTGTCCAGGAAAAAGGTGCAGACAGCAAAGCTCATTTAGATGTGTGTGTGTAGATATATAAACCTGAGACTGAGGTTTGATCCCATGGAGAACTCTTCCCTGGACCATCCTGTGACAGCACAAGCCATGATGCTGCTGTCATCCTGTCAGCAAGGATCATAAAAAATCCAAATCTCTAATTTTTCAACTTTCTTTTGTCTTTATTGCAGTATATCAACAACTGTTCAAGAGTCCCAACCCCAGCATTTGTTTAAGCATTGGGACAGTTATATATATATATGTATATGTACAGTCTTGCTGTCATCTTTTGTGCCCACCCTTAAAAACTGGGCTGAAGATCAGAAGGAGGAACAAAAGCTGAGCTGATCTAAGCCCCTGGTGGAAGCTCTGGTGTTAAACATGTTTGCTCTGGGGTGCTGTTGTTTTTGAAGGATGCCTTACCCAGCCAGGGGAGCATGTCCCTTTAGACTTCCACACCTCACTGAACAAAGATTAGATGGAGAAGTCCTGGAGCCTGACCCTCTTTTTGCTTTGGCACATCCATCTTTTCCCATGAGCCAAAGCAAAACTTGCTTCATTTTTTTCCTGACAAGGGTAAAAGTCCTGAGTTGCCTGTGAGGACCAGCAGGACTTTTCCCTGTGGATGGGCAGGGAGGCTGCCCCTCTCCAGCCATGGGGCTGTGCTGATTCCATGGCTCCAGCAGCTCAGAGGGTCATTCTCTGCCAGGACATTGCCCTCAGAGGCAGCAGCAGGAGCTGTGGCTGGAGGGATCTGCAGGGGGGTCCTGCCTGTGCCTGTGGGTTCTGGGGAGCACAAAACTGGGTAGAACTCCCCTTCTCCTCAGGCTGGTGGAAAATACACTCCTGTGGGGAGATTTAGATGGGATATTGGGAAGACATTCTTTATAATGATGGTGGGCAGGCCCTGGCACAGGTTGCCCAGAGAAGCTGTGGCTGCCCCGTCCCTGGAAGTGTCCAAGGCCAGGTTGGACGGGGCTTGGAGCAACCTGGGCTGGTGGAAGGTGTCCCTGGCCAGGGCAGGGGGTGGCACTGGGTGGGCTTTAAGGTCCCTTCCAACCCAAACCAGTCTGTGATTCTATGAAATATTTGACTATCACATACATAATCATCAAGGGCTGGGCAATAAATCACAGCAACACATGTAAAGAAGAGGTGGAACATGTGCCACAGACACAGTCAGTGCCCATGGGATCTGATCCATTCATCAAACATCTGCCCCAGAGCAGCTCTGCCTTATATCCCTCATACAGACTTACACCAGATTAGATCAGAAGGCACTTTTCTATTATTTTTAAGCGGAAGACCCCTTTAATTTCATATTATTATAGCAAACTAATTGGTTAAACCTCTCCAGATGTACAGAGAAGGAGTTTGCCTGGTTTTTTACCTCCCTCCCTGCCCTGCTGGGGGGACAGTGAGCCCTGAGAACAGGCTCCTCAGACTGGCCCTTTGATTTGTGTGCAGAATTATTTGCTCACGTCACTGAAGAACGTCTCCACAGCAAGGAGTTGTGCTGGCTCACATTTCCTCTGCAGACTGTTTCAGATGGAAAACAAGGAAGATGATCTAAATTGGAGGTAATAGGCTGGAATGTGGGATGCAGGAAGATTACAGATGCACCTTGAACCTGCAGGACTAATGACTTTGTTCGTGCATCTGCAAAATGCTCACCTGACTTCTGCCTGGGAGAGCTGCTCCAGCCCTGTGCAATGAAATCACAGGTATTTCGACTTTAGGATCCTCTAATACCTTGTTCATGGTTAACAAGAGGGCTAAAGTAATGTTCCTTTACAAGCTGGGAGAAGTTTGGCCTGAGATCTGAGAGCCCTGCATGGGAAGCCCATGATTTCTTTTCCCACTGTATGAGTAGAATCCATGATGAAGTTGTTAAAATTACAGGCAGGAATATGTTCCTCTTCAATCCTTTTTTTTTTTTTTTTTAAAGGTAGATGAAGTTTAATATTTAAACTTTTGAGTATCTTGCAAAATTTAGACTTTACTTTTGAAGGCAGGGGGTTGGGAAATCCCAGAATCCCAGAATCCCAGAATGCAAATGGCCATCAGGAAAACCAAGGCAGTCCCATGATTAAATCCCAAATCCCGAATCTGCTGCCTCCTGGTCTGGGTGGGGGCATCTCCCTGTGCCTGGAAACGTGTCCCATCATGTTTGGCCATGGGGGTTATTGATAACTTGCTGTTTTACTCTGTTATTGATGGCAGGCACTGCTCTGCTGTGACTCCAACCACACACACACTGCAGGACGAGGCCCAGCTTCAGGTGTCTTGCAAATACAGATGAGGTAAGAAAAGCCATAAAAGCTTCAGAGGCCTCTTAATTTTTCCCCTTTGAATCATCTGTCATAAAATCTCGTAGGAGATGGGCTGTGCTCACTCAGAGGTAAAGCTAATGTGCTCTTTGATGCTGTTGTTTGCGAAATCTCTGACTTATTAGCAATAAATCCAGGGGCTGTGGTCGGCCTGGCAGAGCTGAGCTTTCTGCCAGCCTGTGCATTGGAGGTGGTGCTTGAGAAATGCTGCCCTTGGCTCTGGGAAATGCAGGAAGCACTACAAGTGGTCGGGTCTGTGCTGGAGGAGAGGACTAACCAAAATACCCTGGATTTTGGGAGCCAGTCTATCAAAACAAAGCAGGGACGCGCTGCTGCCGTGCAGCTCCTGCCAAGGATGAGCTGAAACCAAACTGGCACAAACACCAGGCAGGAGTTTTTTGTGGTTTGTTTTTTTTTTTTCAAAACCTCCACTCTTTGGGTATAAAAACATAGAGGATCTATTTTTTCTTGCTGTGTTTAACTGCTCCTGGGATGTGTCAGGCTGCTCCTGGGCGTGTGACGCCCTCCCCAGCGCGGGCTGAGGTGTGAGCCTGAGCTCACCCTTCATTCACTGATGCAAGCAGGGGCACAGGGTTTTTTCCTGCAGAAATCTGCTTTTGCTGCTCATGACGTTTTTTCCCAGCAAAATTTAACAACTGTGCAATGTACCTGGAGCTACAAGAGGTGGATTGAGCAATTAAATCTGGTTAAAGTCTTCTGGAGAGGGAGGGAAGGGCCGTGCACGTCGCTGGGCTGAGACAGCCTGAACAAGAAAATCATGGATTTTCTTCACTTGTTGCCAACCAGGCAGTTTTTGGCAGCTCTTCAGCTTCCCCTTGGTGTGGAGTAAGGAGGGGGGTGTCCAGCCCCAGCAGTGGATATTCCCTTCTTGTGCAAAACCCAAGAGAATTAGCATTGGAACACCATGCCTGACATTGAAGGGACTCTCAGTCTGCACCAACTGTACTCCTTGAGTTCTCATTTGGGAATAAAAAGTATAAATTGGATGACAAATAGTGATTCATTCTCAAAAAAAGTCATTCTTTTCTTAATTCAACTCTTGGAATTTTCACTTAATATCTGAACTCCACGGTCTGATCCATCTCCAATTCATTCCTTGTCTAGTGGGTTTTATTAACTGCAACGCCCTCAGTAGCTGTTTTGTTTAGGTAATAGAGGACAATTCAGCCTGAAGAAAACTAATTTTCCTCTTTCACGTGGTTTTGGTTTTCTTTCTTTTGTTCCTTGTAGTTTTTAAATGAATTCCAGAAAATAGCTGTGACAATATGGGAAGAGAAAGACCGAAGTAAACATTGATTTTTACAGTGTAATAATTTATGGTACCAACTTAATAAGTGGTGTGACACGAGCAGTTCACCATCCATTTATCATGAGTTGATAGTTTGATTCCGGAATTTTTAACACCACTGCTCGCTGTGACATTATAAAGGACCTGCCAACATTCCCATTAAAACCATGAGATTTTAGGAGTTCTACTTCAGCTCTAAATATCAGTATTTGGACTCCATGAATTATTATGCAGAGTAACAACCTCTGAATGACTTGTTCCAGCAACTATAAAAAAAATTAAGCCTTTGACATTTTTGAACTTCAGGAGGACATCTTCCCCTTTCCAGAAGAAAAGCCTTATGGATGCTTTTCATTATGCCCACCATAAAAAGTTTACAAACTCAGAGACAGCTCCTCAGCTAAAATAAATCACTTTAATTCCACAGATGGCAAGGAGGAGACAGCAATTTACATTAAAAGGTTCTGATGAGAGTTGTCTCGAGCTGTAGTTTGCTGGCATAATGGCTCCAGGCTAATCACACTCCCTTCCAGGAGCCATGCTGGGGTTACACAAGGGCCAAAAATAGCAGCTGAGCTCCACGGCTGCTCTCACAGCCCCTCTCAAGGACTTCCCAGCCCGTTTTGGTCAGTGTGGAGGTCACAGCAGAGCCTGGTGACTGCCACTCTTTTGGCTGGGCTTCAGATAATAATGTCAAGTCAGATTATTTCTGCCTCTCCCATCACTTTCTCCTGACTCCAAAAGTGCTCTGGAGCAAATAAAGCCCTGACGGTCCCTCCCTGCTGCCTCCACGTGCCCCCTGTGGGGAGCCCCTCAGTGGAGTGACAATGCAGAAACTGGTTTCAAAGGGTTGTGATGGATGCCCAGGTTCTCCAGACTTGCTTTTCATAGTGAAATCCACTTCCATAATAATTCCAACCACATGTCTGGGTTAGGGACCAGGCTTTTTGAAGGCTTCAGCTTTTGCAGAATGTCACTGGGACACAGTGCTGTGAGTTCAGCACTGGTTTGTCACAGAATCATGGAATTGTTAGGGCTGGAAAAGACCTCTGACATCAAATCCAACTGTTGCTCATCAAGTCCAACTGTTTGCAGCTGTGGACACCCTCAGACCTGGGGGATTGGCTTGGGGAAGTGTGTGGGGGGGGGATGTTCTCACCCAATGTTTGCTTATTAATCACAATGCACAGTTTGTTTTCACAGAAACACCTGTGGGAGAAGATGTGCTCCTTGTTTCCACAGCAGCCTGCAGGATTGTCCCTAACGAGGGGCCAGGATGGTCCCCACCCCATCCTGGCTCCTCTCACTCTGGGGGAAGAGCAGCCACGGTTACAAACACTCCTGCAAAACCAGGGCATTCCTCAACATCCAAAGTGGTTTAGAGCACAGTCTGTGCCTGAAACGTTTTTCAATTTAGCAGGAAACCCGTGTCCTCACTTCCATTCTTTCTGGAAAATACAGAAATACCTCTAATGACTGAGGACTCAAAGGGCTCCACCTCCTGGGTCTGTTGGTTCAAGAACCCCTAAAAAGAGAGATTTAGAAAACGGAGCTCGTGGATAATGGGACAAAGTGATGAAAAGTAAGTTAGCTGACCTGCTAAATTCTATTTGTATCCACGGTTTCTAAGGAATTGCATTAAAAAGGGTTTGTGATTATGTTTAACTTGGGTTGTAAGGATTTAATGTACCGTCTACAAGTCGTTAAACACTTTTGTTGTGACATTTGATCTCCACGTTGATACTTTATTACCACAGATCACTTGGAAATGGGAAAGGGACCAGCGAAATTTAAAACCAAATTACAGTTTGTTGGTTTTTTCAGGAACTAGCTCATTTTAAACCCCTTTTTTAGTAAGAAGTAATGACTTGCTTTATTTAGAGACTATTTAAAATGCTCTCGAGGTATCTATTGAATATCTTGACATAACAGATAAATCAGTGGCAGCCTCAAAATTAGTTCTGCACTGTTATAGATCCCAATATGTTCTATTATGGTGCATACTATACAGTCCTTGTTCAGTGCACGTTAGAGGAAGAGGGAGAGTCTGTTCTCAAAGCTGTTTCTAACAAAAGATCATTCCTACCCCTGAAAACCTGCCAGGATTTGGCTTTGAAGCACGAAGTCAGTTTATTTGTGTGTCTGTGGATGGTCTCTGATAGGCAGAAGATGATGGGTTTTATGGTGTTTGTCTGCTCAGGTGTTGTAAATGCATTATTTATATATCCAAAAGTAATCAGGAGAGAGGTGGATGTTCATCCGGACTTTAAAATAATTCAACTGACCTAATTCCTGTCAAAAATAATTATTATAAAAACTGCACTCCCTAAGTAACTGTTTCAAGATGGAAAACTGGGCACCAGGGTGTGGGTGCTGGAGCTGTTCCAGGTGACCCGGGGCTGGTGCTGGGACAGGATTTGCTCTGTGGTGCCAGAAGCTTTAAGCTGCTTTCTTAGTAAGCTCAAACATTCATTTTTAACCCAGCCAGTTACTGTCATGCATTCCCAAATGAAGCACGTCCTTACTGGAATAAATGGACAAGTCTCCATCACAAGTGTTTGCTTTAACTCATCGCTGCTACTGCTCCCCTTGTCCTGCTTGTGATTCCTCAGGCATCTCCTCCAGCCTCTGACGAGATTCCTCATCCTAAAGAAAGGACTTTACAGCCTTTGGAATGGCAGTGACCTGCTCAGGGGGTTGTTTTTCTCCCCAGTGAACACCACTATGAGCATTCACTGAAACCTTCCCCAAACGGTGTTTGTCCAACAGCTGTGTCTTTGCTTCCCAGAACAGTTTTGTTTCAAGATGAAATCAGGAAACTGTACTCTTAGAGCAGATCTATGGGGCTAAGTCAAGCCAGATGACTTGGGGAGGAATTCACAAGTGCCCTGTGGTGTTTGCTGGTAAAGAACATGGGTTATGTTATGTTAAAATAAAGGGGAAGTGAGAGCAGTGGGGAGGGCAGCCAGGCTGTCCCTGGGGTGATGGCAAACACTGGAGTGTCAGGCTCTCCTGTCTGTTTAACCACCAGAAATTGGGAATATTTCATATATTTTGGCCTTGGACCTTGTTATTCAGGGGAACATACAATAATAAAGGAGCATTTGGCGTGATTTTGTTAGAAATACATCAGACTGTCAGCCAGTCTGGTGGCATCAATAATTCCCTATTAAGGCCTCTACACCCATTATGGTTTGTGCTTTTACTTTTTTTTTTTTCCTAAGTTAGTTTCCAGGCAACCAGTAAGAACTGAATTACATTAAGCTGTTAATTCAGCCTTGCACATCAGCTCTGGGTTCTGCAACCCATTTGTTCCTCTCGTACACAAGTTTCCTCCTAAAAACCCTTTTATTGGTTTAATCTGCAGTAGCACCAGCCCAGAGAGCTGCTTTTAAAATGGCAGTGTCTGCCTAGATTTTGGTTCTTGTTCGGTTTTTAATCCTTGCTGGTGGGGGTCGTTTGTGTTGTGTGGTGGAGCAGAGCTCTGTGAGGAGGTTGGTGTCACCCACCATCAACATACACTGGGATCTACCAGGGTGTTCTTCAGCACCACAGGAGGTGTTGCCTCGTGGTAAGGGCTGAATTAAGAAGATTCTTGTGATTTGAAGGGTGATATGATTGGAGATTTGAGGGTGGTGAGGCCCTGGTACAGGTTGCCCAGAGAAGCTGTGGCTGCCCCTGGATCCCTGGAAGTGCCCAAGGCCAGGTTGGACAGGGCTTGGAGCAACCTGGGCTAGTGGAAGGTGTCCCTGCCCAGGGCAGGGGGTGGAATGAGATGAGATTTAAGGTCCTTTCCAACCCAAACCAGTCTGGGATCCTATGATCATTTCCTCATGGAGAGCTAACTGGGATATTGGTTATTAAGAAAATTTAAACTGTAGGACCTTTCTCTCTCCAGAGGAGAACTGTTCTTTCCTTCTTCCAAAATGTGTAGGATGCAGGATGTGGGATGCAGATGTGGATGTGGCACTGGAGGACATAACTTAGTGGTGAACAGTGTTGGTGCTGGTTGATGATTGGCCTTGGTGATCTCAGAGGTCTTTTCCAAGCTCAGATTCTCTCTCCCTGTGGGATGCAGGCTGTGGGTGTGACAGCCCGAGCAGGTGGCACCAACAGCTCTGCTCCACTTGTGATCTCACAGCCCTGAGCACTTGCTCTGGCCAGGAACTGGCCAGCAAATCCTCCTCTAACCTTTGGTTGAAGAACACAAGGAAATGCAGACTTTTGTTTGTGTGAACAGTCTGGAAAACTAAAATGTGGGAAGTCCTTTCGAGGACAGAAAGCTGGAGATCAGGAGCAGAGTCTGGTTTGTGTAATTTGCACACAAGTAGGCACAGATTTTGTCAGAGATTCCTTCCTGTCAGGGGAACAGGTGGATTTAAGAATGTCATTTATTAATTAATACCTGTATGGGAAGTGCATGCTCATCAATCCTGGGAAAGCAAAGAGGAGGCAGGAATGAGACAGAACCATCCCGAGCATGACATGCAAATCTCTGCTCAAAAGGAGCAATGTTGGTGTTGTGCTGCACAGCTCACAATGGAGTGCCCACAGAGGGAACTGGACTGGCAGGTTGGTGATGAACTGCCCTCCTCATCCCCTGAACCAGGGCAGGGAGGCTGAGCCTGGCAGCTTTCCTTCCAGGCCCAGCTCAAAGGGGGGCTCTGGAAGTGGGAGGGAGATTTTTGGGATGAAATTGCAGTTGTGGCTGATAATTTATGAGCCATGAAACCCAACCTGTGGCTGGATTGAGCTGTTATATATTATATGGGAAGGGTCAGAAAGGCCATTAACCATTCCCCAAGCTATGTTGTTACTTGGAATATATTATATATAGACCTATAGATATTGTTATATTATATTATTAGGGAAAGGTTCTTCCCCCAGAGGGTGGTTGGCACTGACCAGGCTCCCCAGGGCAGTGGGCACAGCCCCAAGGCTGCCAGAGCTCCAGGAGGGTTTGGACAACGCTCTGAGGGACAGGGAGGGATTGTTGGGGTGTCTGTGCAGGGCCAGGGGTTGGACTGGATGGTCCTTGGGGGTCCCTCCCAGCTCAGGATATTCCATGATATTCACTAAGGTCAAACTCAGAGACTTCTTCCATCCAGGTCCTTGGACCAGCTCTGTCTCAGGCTTTGCCTTGGTGTCAGTGAGTTGTGGAAGTCACTTGGGAAGTTGTGCTGGTCATTTTTGGTGGGGCTGCAATTAGAATAATCAATCTTAATTAAAAGAATTTGACTTTATCCACTGCTAAAAATAACAAAAAATTGTCATGCATAAATATAATACCCTAAAAGACTGAAAGCAAAGCACCAAGACAAGGCCATTTCAGACCAAGCTGCCATTGCTTTTGTAAACCAGTTGCCTTGGGATACCATTTTTAAAAGTGATTTTTAAACGGATATTTATTTAAAAAGTAAACTACAGTTTTGAGCTCTTTCCAGTTTCTGTTATTTAGAGATCTGGGATATGGATGTGAATCATAGAGGTGACAAATTCAGGCCACAAAAGATAACCATGTCTTCATCAAACTTCACTGGAAAAACAGAGTTATTAAAGCTCTGCTGATTAGAGCAGAGCACAAAATAAATGCTCTTCCCTGAAGAAGCCATAAGAACTTATGTAGTTAAAAAGGGGTTTTATGCCTCGTGGGTTGCTCAGATCTCTTGGAACAATTATAATCACCAGAGTGTTTTTCCTTTCCCATTTATCACTGCAACAAGGGATGTGTTTCCATCCTGAGGGGCTGTGGTTCTATCAGCAGGCCCAAGAAAACCCCCTGTGGTCAATATGTTGAATCTAATCACGTTCTCCATTTCTGGGACATATTTTATTAAACATTTTCATCACTTTCAGCTGTGCATTCATACCTCAACAGATTTATATCTGTAATTAGGGGATTGTTATTTACCAGCTGGTAAAAAGACACCTTTCAGCAACATAATTCAAATGTCATGAGTTTCTGCCAGTTCCACATTCCTAGTACAGTTATTTCCTTTGCTACAGGTTAGGAACGTGTCTGCTGTCAGAAACCTTTGGAAATTGTTCAGAAATACTGGGAAACAACTCACTGTGTTTGTCCAGCTAAAGGAAATCAGATTTATGTGAAGGAAAGTGATGCCTCTCCAAGATCTACGTTCAGTAATGAGTTGTTTTTATTTAACAAAGTCTCTAACAGATGGTGTTTCTAAATTTTGAATATTAGGGCTGGTTTTGCAAGAGGCCTCTCCACGCTCTGATGTACCAGGGATGAGGTTTTCATCTCAGCTGCAGCTCAGAGCTGGTTGTGTGGTTGCTCCTGGTGGCACAAAGGCACCAGTCCTGGTGTTGGAGCCACACGAAGGTGACACCCCCTGTGTCTGCAGCCAGTGCCACCCAAAGCACTGCCCTGTGCAGGGGGGTTTGGTTCATGGCACATGGAAGATGTGGGGTTTTTAATAGTTTTGAAAAAAGTAATTTATTGTGTGTGCTCTGTAGAAGGAATCATGGAATGACAGAATGGTTTGATGGAAGGGACATTAAATCTCATCCAGCTCCACCCCCTGCCATGGGCAGGGACACCTTCCACCAGCCCAGGTTGCTCCAAGCCCCCTCCAACCTGGCCTTGGACACTTCCAGGGATCCAGGGGCAGCCCCAGCTTCTCTGGGCACCCTGTGCCAGGGCCTCCCCACCCTCACAGTGACTGTGTCTTCATTTATCCCAGGAGTTCCTTAGTCACTGTTATCTGAGATTATTTTCAGTTAATTTCTGCAAGGTTTGTGCTCATCACCATCACCTTTCTCAGCCAATTCTCTAATCTCACAAAAGCAGCACATTAATTTGAGGAGCTGTGTTTTCCCTCAGTCCATGGTTCCTGGACATTGAGGAGCAGACAATGGTGCTGCCAACCAAGTCTAACCAACCCCCTTGTTGTTCCTCAGGGCTGAAATACTGGAGACAGCCAGTTTCTCACCAAACCCAGTGCCATGGGCACCATCTCAGCTTGGCCAGGTCACCAGATGTCATCCCGTTGGCCACCCGCCTGTGCCTCTGTTGCTCCAGCAGGAAGGTTTGGTCTCCTGGTGAGGCTCTTCCCACACCCTCCCCCACACGTGTTCAAACCCAACTTAAGCTCCTGGTTTGGTTGGTACAAGTGGTCATTTTTGCTGAGCTGTTCAAACCCTCTGTTCTGCTCCTGTGAGCACTCCCATCCTGTGAAAAGGGTGGGAAGACATTTGCTTTGCTTCATTCCTGCAAAGCATTTCCAGGATCAGAGCAGTGTTCCCAGTTGTGCAGTCATTCCACGCACACAAAGCACACGTGGACTGCACTTTCATCATTAAATCTCTTTTCTCCTTAAGCAATACAGGGTGGTGGGGGATTTTGAATGTGGAAATGCAAATTATCTAAATGAAGGGTGACTCTGCACAGGTAATTCAAGAGAGTAGCTGTGGGGAAACATCAGCCAGGGCAAGAAGGAGGAGAAATTTGAATTCAATTGGATTTCAGTAACTTCAGATTGGTTTTGAATCATATTTACGTACTTTTCCCTCTCTCATGTGTTTGCAAGTTTTATTACTCTGGTTCTCCACGTGGAGAACCAGATTGGAGCTCTGTGAATTAGGGGGTTGTTATTGCTGAGCAGGAGATGAACTGCAGCAGCAGGAAATGAGAGCCTTCCCTGGAGTCCTTCCCAGGAAAGCTGTGGAAAACCTGGAGCTGAACCCAGACCCAGGAGACACAGAATGGCCCCAAAACGAGTGATGGGGTGGGCCAGGAACCGCCCCCAGGAAGCTCAGTTGGAAAACTCAATCAGCACAAGGGATGCTGAGGGAAACGGGGACATTCCAGGCCAAACCCTCCCTGCCTCTCCCAGAGACCCAGGAGCTCTGCAGCTTCCCTGCTGCTGCTTCCAGCAGTGCCTGGATGGGAGGATTTTGTGCCGTTTCAGGCTGAGGATGAAAGGGAGAAATGGTTGAACACCCCGAGCTCCGACGGGAGCAGCAGCAGGAGCCGCGCTGATGGAAATGGCCCAAATCGATGGTGGGTTTAGGGAGGTTCTTTTCATTGTTGGCTGCAAGATTTCAGTGAAAGCTTTTCTAAACATGTATTTCAGGAGAAGGCAAAGACTTCTTGCAGGGTGAACCAAATATGAAATTACAGATCTTGAAGGAGAACTGCACTTGTAAAATGAAAAACATGATGTGGCACAGCAAAAATGGGACCATTGTCCTGAAGGCTTTGGATCTGGCCTTTAAAGTGTAGTTTGGGGATTAATCATCAAATGGTTTTGTCATAGCAATTTGACTCAAGTGGTTCTTTGCTTATATTGAAGACTTAAATTACACACTCATTGTCAATGAAATAATTTTAAATAATGCAGCTGTTAAAGTTGCCTGGTTTGACTGTTGGACTTTCAGTATTTGCTGGGTAATATCTGCTTCTTCACTCCTTCCTCTTCATCTGGAGGCCTCTCCTCCAAATGAGATCTGGCCCAAGGGGGACTTTAATCTTCTCCAGACACCAGCTCTGCACTCCCATGTGCACTTGAGGTTTGGAGCACTCTCAACACCCACCAAAATGACCAGGTAAAGACTTGAGTTCCTGCTGGTAAACCCAGCATGGAGGACCTGGCCACCCAAGGCAAAGGTGGAGGTGGAATGGGTCTGCTTCCCACAGGGATTGTACTAATAGTAACTTTTTACTTCTCCTGATTTTGTAGAGTGTGTTCAGAGAATCATAGGATGACTAAGGTTGGAAAATACCTCCAAGATCATCAAGTCCAACCTTCCCTAGATGTGAATAATACCATAATTATATTGGTATAGAAATGGAAAATGAACTCCAAAATATTTTGATCTGGAGAATTTGAGTTTAGTTCTAGTGGGAATTAAGCAGAAGAATTTTCAAGTAATTTATGTTTGAAATGCCTTCATAACTTGTGCTTCATAAAAACAGAGAGTGACATAAAATGACAGTAAAACTCCCATTTTGGAACTGGACATTCTCCCTCCTGGCAGTAAAGAGCAAAGGTAATTTGCTGTGTTTCAGAGAGGTTGTCAGTAGTTACTGTGACTTCAAATGATGTCACAGGAACACTGAGACATCTCCATCCTGCGACTCCCAGGAGGTGCTTTGATGGTGAGTTGGTGATTTATGGCTCTGAATTAGAGTTTGTGGTTAGAATTAATGTCCTGGGCAGCAACAACAAAACCTCTGCAGGCTCCCCTGGTTCCCCCAGGCCAGGGGCTGGGCAGGGGCCTGGGCTGCCCTGTCCTGGCCCTGCTCAAAGCTTTGCCCTTTGGAAATCCGGGCAGGAGCTGCCTCTGTTGACGTGGGACCTCCTTATGTAACCCTCTTGCTACTGGAGCACCTCGGTGTAAATGGAAAAGTTAAGAAGAAAATACAAGAAGAAACACAAGAGGGTTTTTTTCCCTCCTTAAGTGCTCTCATGGGTTTGCTGTCTTTTACTTGTTCCTCTCTTCTCCAAAATTAAATCTTTTCCTTTTTTACCCCTCAAAAAGCATGAAAAGGAAAATTGCTAATGAATCAAAACACAAGAAAAGTTAATGGTTGTGTCCAGAACACTGATTTGTCTTTGTGGGTGTGGCAGAACTAGAACTGGAGCCCACGTGGAGTTTCCATCCAGTGCTGCTCTGCACTCATCAGCCATCCCTCCAATTAATTAACTGCCTGAAATTAATATACAGACCAGCATCACTTTTAATTTCATTTTCTGTTTCTCCAAACTGAATTGCCTTTAATAAAAACCTTATAAAAAGCAGATTTTCTCTTATCTTCTCCTGCCAACCCTGAGCCACCATTGGTATGTTTTACAATACTCGGTTTGATTGAGCCAGAGTTACACCCTGAGTTAATGAACAAGGCAGAGTGGGAATATAAGACAACTTTTCAGCCTACAGATAATGCAGAACACTGTCAAATGGGTAATTCAAGAGAAAGAAGAAAGCCTCTCAAAGTTTAACACAAAAATAAATGATGGGTTTAGCACTGCTACAGGAACATTGCATTTCCCAGAAGTAAAAGCTTGTTGGGATCTGGGTCAAGAGAAAAAAAAAATTGTAAAATTAAGCAACACTTCAAAGTTTGGATTTATTAGAAGTGAGTGAAGTTCATTGTCACCTGGTGCAGACAAGGTTTTCTTAAGGGCTGGGGAGTTTGTGTTTGACTTTATTCTTAAATATTTACAAGAAAACTAACCACTGTGTTTTGGTTCTGTAAATATTGACAGCAGGTTTTCATCTTTCATTAGGAGGACCAATATTTGCTGGATTGGATCCGTGACCCTCAGGTTAAGTGCACAGAGAGATGGGACAGGGATCTTCTCGCTGCCGTGAGGGTTCAAACTGGGTGATTCCAGTGAAACTAAAGGGAGGGAAATGGGGGAGTTGTGGACCTTTTCTATTAAAATACACCAAAAGTTTGAGTGAGAGATGCTCTTCTCCCTGAGATCACATGTCCCAGGTGTCTCCTGACTGTGGCTTTCAGGCTGATGTGGGTCTGGTTTCTCCTTCTCTCTGCCTTTGTTTTGGTGACAACGTTCTCTTGAGGGAGCTTGGCTGATGCTGCACCCCTTGCTGGCCCTGCTGAGCTTTACATTTGGAGTTTTATATCCATGGAGGTTTGTGAAAATCCTCTTCATTTTTGCAAGCCCTTATTTAAGTCCCAGGTACTTAATTATCCACTGTGGCCAAGCTCAGCATCCTTCCTAGAGGTGTCACAAGTGCATCTTGGCTCAAAAATCCAAAATCCTTGAGTAAACTTTGCACCTAAATTTTGGGGTTGGATTTGGTTGGTCTATGAGCTGTAAATTCCTAAAGAGCATTTGTCTATAGAGTCATAACATGAGTCAAAGGCCTGACTTTTTAAAGGAATTCCATGTTTCCCACCTGAAGTAATCAGGGAAGACAATACAGAGTGATTTTCAAGAACTCCAGTTCCTTTGGTTTGAATGTTCTGTGTGATTTGCTAGTCAGAAATTCCATCATGTTTTGTACCACTCCTCAAAAATCTCAGCTGCAGTTTTTTCCCTCCTCAGAGCTGTCTTGTGCATGACAAACCCCACATTGTTCCTGTGTGTTCTTCTGCATTTATTTCATGTCATCTTCTTCCAGGAAAGAAAAAAACCCAGAGCTTCTCTCACTTAGCACCCTTTGGGACAGCAGCTGTAGATGAAGAGCAAGCAATCAACATGTCAGGATAAAATTAGATTGCCACGGAGTACAAGGTTTGATCCAATGTCTGTATCAGATTCGGTTTTCAGCTCTGCATATCACAAGACAATAATACTTGCTGAAGGTGCTCGGCACAAAGCAGCTTTTTCACAGATACTTTTCATCTGTGGAAAAGCTGGGGAAGAGGGGGCAGGGTGAAATCAGCTATTTTACACTATTACCTCAATATTTAGCTGTACTTATAAATAAGGAATGGATGCAGGAGTTGGCTCTTTGCTGCGTTTCTGTGCTCGTGTGTGCCTTCAGTGCAGGGCAGTGGTGGAGCCAGGATTAGAATCCCAGAATATCATGAGTTGGAAGGGACCCAGAAGGGTCACTGAGTCCAACTCTCCAGGGAATGGCCCATGCAGGGATCAAACCCCAACCCTGGTGTTGTTCAGCACCATCCTCCAACCAGCTGAGCTCACCTCAGGAACCTGCAGCAGCACCAGGAGCTTGGGGAGCATTTCCCACACAAATCTCCCAACCATCCCTGCTTCCCATGCTCTGCTTTTCACTGGAGAGTCATTTTAAAGTGAGGAAAACAGATTCATTTTGGTTAAATGAGATGGGAGATGGCTCTGGCAGCATCCAGTCCAGAGCAGAGCCAGCCCAGAGCAAACCCCAGAGCCAGGTCCGGCTGCATGGTGGGTCCTCAGCCAGCACCTTCACTCTACAGACCAGGTCCTGCTTGGTGACATGACCAGAGCCCTTAGAGACAGCTCTGATAAGGCCAGGGATGGAATACAGCTTGCACAGAAAACATCTACATTTTGACATTTTTTTCTACAAAGTGCCCTAATACTTTCAAGAAGTAATATTTGCTTCCATTTAATTGGACAAAAATTAGTGAAAATATTTCAATTATTCATTCAATTGTGTTTGGTTTGGGTCAGACAGAGTGGTTGGGTTGACTTGAAGGACCCAACAGAACTCAAGTGCCAACAAGCTGGGCAATGTCAGCTCCGTGTGGTCACAACCACCTCTGTCTGTGCTATGATAACCTTTTCCTGGCTGTTTGTCCATCTCCCACCAGGTCTCTGGTTACCAGTAGCTGTCTCCTGAAGGGAGCCATGAGGATGTCTGAGGCCTGGCTGGGGTTCCTGTGGGGGTACTGAGCCAAGGAGGTGTTTAACCCTCGGGCATCGCAATTTGTGCCACGTGGAATCTTCAGCTGTTGGAATGTCCTGGTAAGGGCAGAGTCATTGATTTGAACTCACTGGGGTAAAATCCATTTTCTCTTGGGCATAAAAATATTGATACACATACACACACACAAAGCCTTTTTTAACACTCGTGGCCCATTTAATCTCCTGTTTAAGGACTTTAACCTGGTTCTGCCTGTCCCCAGCTCTAGGTTGGGGTGATGAGACTCCAAGGATGTTCCCCATCCCCGTGTTATTTAATTCTCCAGACCAGCTCCCACTGCTCTGTCAATAGCTTTCAAATTAATGGTCCAATCTTTTACATTAATGAGTTTGCACTGACCCCAGTGGAAGTGGATCAGCTCTGAGACTGTGGGCCCGGCCGGGTGCCCTTGTTGGTGCTGCAGCTGAAAGTAGTTCACCTACTTTAGACACAATCCTGGCACCTCGAGCTCCTCAGTGTCTTTGGAACTCATTAAAGCCTCCATTCCCGTCCTGCTGCTCCCAACAAAGAGGGGTTTAATAATGGCATTTTTGATTTTGTCCTGCAGTAACTCCAAGTTATTTTGAGGTCCTTTCTATGCTCGTTCAGCTCAAGCAACTGCTCTAGAAAGCTCTTGTTAGCCCAGGATTTCCTGAGAGACAGAATTCAGCACCTGTGTTTTCCAAATCCCTCTGTGAGGTTTGAAAAATCTTATTTCAATCATTACAATAACAAGGCATCTCAAACAAAGCCAATATGGTCAGAGCAGCCAGTAGGTGATGGAGATGTTTCCAGTCACTGTAAATTGTTGTGTTCTCTGGAAAACACAGTGAGTCTTGAGAAGGGAGTGCTCTGCAAATGCTGGGCTGTCACCTGGGATGCAGAAACTTCAATATTGGAGGATCCATAGACAGTAAAACCACATCAAGAGAAAACAATCTGTTATCATTAGCTGGGGATACCAGGCCATCAGTGTATTTTGCCAGAGTTTGCTTGCTGTTGTACACAGGGATAAAACCTTGCACAGGCCAGGCTTTCTACAAGATGAATGAGGAAAGACGTCAAGGGAATAAATGAAACAGAGGAGGAAAAGATCTGCACTTTCACAAAATGTGCACAGCCAGGGAGAGACCTTAGAAAAAAAAAAAAGTTAAAACTTAATTTACAAAGAACACTCCTGACTTGTGTCATAAAATGTTCCAAAACAATCTCATGACTCAATTTCTGCAGCCATTGAAGTAGCAAGAATTACATAAGATCCTTGCTGTTTGCTTTATATTATGCTTAACTCATATTCTCAATGATTCATTATCAAGGTTTGTCAGATGTAATTAAGAGGAGTGCCAGCTGTGATGGTGTTTGATATCACAGCACCTTGCATGGTGGGGACTCAACCTCATGTGGAATCAGCTCAGAGCAACCAGTGGTTTGGTGCTTTGGGGCTCCCTGTGCTCTGGGCTGCTCCAAAAGGGAAGGGATTTAGTGGAGAAGTTCCTCCTTAACTTAAAATGGAGTTTTCTGTGAGTCTCTATTACAGCAAACAAACAACAACATGTGTGGAATTACCAATATGATTTTCTTTCCTGTGGTAAGCAACGTCTCTTTCGTTAAATAAATACAATTAAGTTCCAAAAAGGACAGAGTTTTAAAGTCAGGAAAGTATGAGTGTGAGAACACTGCATGTGGTCATGGAAGATGTCTGTGGAAGGTGTCCCTGCCCATGGCAGAGAGTTGGAACCAGATGGTCTGTAAGGTCCCTTCCACCCCAAACCATCTGTGATTCTATGGCTTCGTGTCCAAGTTTTTAGTGCTGATATGAACTGTCCAGTGAGCTCATAAACCTCTGGAAACAGTTTACAAAGATGAACCTTTCTGACCCACATTTGATGCAGGAGAAGTCCTCCACCCACTGTTGTGGACACCCTGCTGCCAAAGTCAGAAATTAAAGAGTGGGTAATTCCTGGGCAGCAATGGCAAAATACCAGGGACTCATTTACAGAGGTGTCAGCCAGGTGGGTCCATTGGCCCTGGGGTGACTCTGGCTCTGCCCATCCCATTGTCTCTGTGCTGGCAGCACAGAACACGTGAGAGCACCTTGGAGAGGCTTCCCCACCCCACCAGCCTGTTCAGCACAGGGGGACACCCTCCAGCTCCTAAAAATGAAATTATCCAAATCAAGTCTTAAAAACCCCCAAACTCAACAAACCCCAAAGTCAGCCCCTAAGTTCAATGGTGTTTTTACCTTCATGGTTGTGAGCCCTTGAGCAGCAGCCCCTCTGGAACAGGGCTGAGAACATCACTTATCCCATGGAATTCAATCCCTGGGTTTGAACTGCTCAGACACGGGTGGGGATCAGGACAGGAAACCCAGGGAACAGTTCTGGTTTCTCACTCAGAGTGTGCCCGGCAGTGGGAGGCTCAGGGATGTGCTGGAGGCCGAGGATGAAGCGATTCAGGGAATGGGTGTTGAGGAAGCGGAGCTGAAGGAGGCCCTGGCTGCAGCAACCCCGGCGTGGCTGAGCATTCGTTAGCAGAAAGGCTGAAAGGAAACCACAGCCCAGGCACTATCAGTGCTGGGTCCTGCAGGAGGGATGATGATGATGATTGTATATTTTTCAGAAACATATAAACCTTTTTCTGTCTGAATTCTTTGGGGTGGAAAAAAAAGGTCGAATATTTTTAAAATACTTCGCTTAAAATTTGGCAAAGCTGTAAAGGACAGAAAAGAGTTGCTTGTGGCTGGGAGAAAAAAAGGCTCTCAAGAGCATCCTGAGTGATTCCATCAGCTTCAATGCCACTGTGTCCCTCAGAAAAGTCCAGGCAGCACAGCCAGCCGGGGAGGAGGAGACCTGCCTGTGCTGGCTGGCTCAGTTTATTGTCTGACATTACAAAACTGTTATTATTTTGAGAATGCTGTCTTATTTAATTATCAGAAATGTACAATTCCTTCATTCTCAGTCTAGCACTGGAAGAGATGTTCCAAGCATTAAGCAAATCACAATATACTTAGTAAATAAGAAACTGAGAGAATAATAAGTGTTTGAAAAGCCAAAGTTATTGTTGTGTGTGGATGGCAGCAATTTAATGATTTGGCTGAGGCTCATGGAGCTGCCTGTTTGAAATATCTGTGATCTCCAAGGAGTGCTTTGAAAGTGTCTCCAAAGGAATTGATGGATCCATTCCTCTCCAATGCTTGGATGGCTTTCAGAGCCCTGGGACAGGTATTGGTGGGGCTGCAGGGGGCTTTTGGTGGGAAAAATGCTGCAAGTCTCCTCCATCCCCCAAGGCAGAGGGGACTGAAGTAACCCCAGGTCCTGTTTGGAAGGTGGGAATTGCTGCAAACTTACCAAACCCCTCATCCTTGGGAGCAGCAAGGGCTTTCCTCCCCTCCAATTCCATCTTTCCCCGGTAGTGGGAATGGTGGTACCAGACCCCTGCATTGGGGTTCCTTTTTCTAACCATGTGCTACACGGAATCACAAAATCATTTACATTGGGAAGGACCTTTCAGGTCATCAAGTCCAACTATAAACCCAGCACTGCCAAGTCCAGATTGTTTCTTGCTATATTTTCCAAAATATAGCAAGTTTGGCTTTAAAAATGGTATTTAGAAAAAATTTTTATTTGATTTTGATTTCAGTTTTGGTCACTTCTGAAACTGTCTTCTTGATGGAGACAACTGAGTTTTGAAAACCCAAGGAAATTCTAATGAAGAACCCAAGATTTGTTGGCAATATCCTCCCCTGGTTATCCTGCAGGTTTCCTGTATTAGTCTGGTGGTATTTTTACATGAATAACCTGTACTGAAATTTCAAAATTTACCACCTCTTCACTTGTAAAAGCTTAGAGGGCTGTTATTTTTTTCCAGTGGTATTATCAGAAATTCCCTTTCCAAGTCTGCTGAGCTCCTGATGCCCAGGATGTGATCTATCAGAAGGAAAGGTATGATACAAACAGGAGCAGGGGCTGCTGCTGTGCACTGGCACCTTCTGTTAGAGCTGCTCTCTTAGTGCTGAGGCTGCTGCCATGGAGAGAGGGCTCCTGGAAGGTTCACACCTTGGCAGGAGATGCTCGGCACAGGTTGGTGAGGGCTCCTCTGTCCCTGTGCCAGGCACGTCCCTCCCCACGGGGGGATTTAATATTTGGGACATGATCTGTGGCACAGAGCAGCGGGTGAGGGACCCTCCCCGCGCTGTGCCAGCCCTGGTGGGTCAGAGAGCATGTGCTGCTCCTGTGGGGTGCCAGGGAGGGCTCTCCAAGGGGACCCTTGTGCCACGTCAGCCGTGGGTCCCTGCGGTTCGTGGCGTCTGCCGGCACGGCGGGACCTGCTGGCTGGGAACGTGTCCAGCACAGAGCTGGCCTGGGCCCCACACCCACAGCTCCAGCTCCCTCCTCCTCCCAGGGCCCTCTGTCCTCCCAGGGCTCCCTCTCCTCCAAGGTTCTCTCCTCTCCTCCCAGAGCCTTTTGCTCTTCCCAGCAGCAGCGCCGGGGCCGGGAGGCAGCACAGGGAGGGGACTGCAAATGGAAAATAACTGTGGGTGTGATGCTGGACCTCGGAGAGCAGCAGAGGGAAGGAACATTTCTCTCCCCGCAGTGGCCGAGGCTGGGGCTCTCAGAGCTGCTTTGCTCTCACCCGGGGTCACACCAGAGTATTAGGCCCAGATACTTCGTTTAGCACAGAATGTTCACTGCGGTTTTTTTCTTTATAGACTTGGAAATAATCCATAGCATGTCTTGTAGATTTAATAATTTCATATTGTTTATAAATTATAATTTATTTATATATTATAATCTGTAGTATATTTTAATAATTTGCTGTCCCCTTTCCTGCCTGGAAACCAGAGCCACCCTGTCACCTTCTTTTTTTAAACAGCAACAACAAAGCCCTGAGTTAAGGATCTGAATTTTTCACTGGCCTCTGCTCCAAAAATCCATTATTTTCTGAACACCAGACACAGGAGCTCTGGCTGCTGTCCCAGCCCTGACTTCACCCAACAAGTTAATTGCTTGTACCACGTCCATTACAGTTGTCCAAGCTGACCTCCGACGGCACGGCAGCCTTGTGCCACATTCCCAACATTAGAAAGATTGTTTTATTCCTCCTTCTTGCCATTCCATCGCTCTTTGTTTTGCTTCCAGTGGTCAGTTATAACAGGATTTCATGTTCACTCTGCCAGTTGCCGGGATAAAAGCAGTGTTTAATTATACAGCAGCCCTGAAAGGAGATGCAGGAGATCCTCCTGTGATGGAGATCGCACCGCTCCCAGAAGGATGCCAGTGATGAGGCTGATTCCTTGCTGGCAAAACCTTTCCTTATCCAGGAGCAATTTGGCTGAATCCACCATCTTATTTGACAGGCAAGTTAAGAAATGTTTTTGAATATGCTCTTGGATTGTTTAACCACTGTTTACTTTGAAACAAACTCTCCTGCTAGAAAGATCAGGCTTGATTTGCTTTCTTGTTGTTGTTGGGTTTGCTTTATTTTTCTGGTGAACTTTTGTTTTGATTTGTGGGGGCTTGGGGGCTTTTTGTGAAGCAAACCTGCACTGGGGGAGATGGGGCGTGTCCCCAGCACAGCCAAGTGTCAGGCAGTGGGACTGTGCCCGTGGGTTGTGGAGACACAGATGGCACTTTGGTTTCTGGGTGCCTGGTCCTACCTGGAGTGGTACCGGTGCCTCAAACCCCAGTGCCAGCTTCCCTGGTGTGGCATTCTTTGGGTGAGAAAAGCACAGCAGCTTCATTCTTGTCCCAGGAGGTCTCCAGCCTGTGCTGGTGGGAGGACACAGCTCCCAAGGTTGAACAGGGCATGGAAAGGACGTGTTCACTGTCCCTGGTTGCTCAGAGTGACTTGTGCCGGGAGTTGGGTTTGGTGCACGAATGACTCACTGGGAAGTGAAGCACAAAACATCACATTGAAATGACTTTCCCACCATTCCCATATGCTTCTGTCAATATTCCCATTAAAGACACAAAGCACTGGGTACTGCAATGGCATCACTTTCTGAGTGGTTCCAGATTCCAGCTCCAGCTCTGCCGTGAGTTGCTGTGTCACACGTGGGAACGCTGATGCTCTGAGGGTGGGGGAGTGCAGCTTGGAGTGGATATGATTCAACTTTTCTTAGGAATTGCTTGTTGGATCCCCTTAGTTGGCTGTTCTGGTGGGCCATGGGGAAGGGAGGATGTTTTAGCTCCAGTGGGATGGAGGCTGTCACACACTCAGGTGTGATACACTCTGTCATGTTCAGTCAGTGCTGTCTCACCTCCAGGTGTTCAGCAATCCAAACAGAGATCAGAGAGTCACAGACTCATTTGGGTTGGAAAAGGCCTTTAAGATCATCAAGTCCAAATACTTCTTCAAGGCAAACATAGCAGTGTCAGATGCACAGGCTGTTATTATATTTAGTGCCCTGTCTGAGAGGGCCAGAGTGGGCGGAGGTAGCTGAGTGCACACAGTGGATGGAGCTCAGGTACGAGGGAAGGGAGATATTGTCTGTTTAAGAGTTAAATTCAAAAGGCAGGAGATTGATAACTGATAAACAGGGTTTTTTCAGGCAATGTCCAACAGTACTTGTCACCATGGGAGCCAAGTACTTCACAAGAGTGGAAAAGGGACTGGGCACTTTTATGGATATCGAGAATATCCAGAGTAATGATTAACTATATCAATTTTTGTACTGTAATTAGAATAATTTTTCATGCTTCAGGGCTTGAACCAATTTCTGTATATGAAAGACCAGGAAGAGATTTATGGCAGGAACAGATTAAAGGCATCTGCACACAGCAAAGCTCCAGCCTTTTCTTCTGACACATCTACTGTTCCAGGACAAGGTCCGGGGCTGGGATGGACCCTGGGTCTGCCTTGATCAGCTGTGTCAGTTCCTATGTTCCTTAGGGGATCTGGTGTGGAGTATGGAGACTGATTCTTTAGGTAAACCAAGGTGTGAGGGAAGGAGGATGAAGCAGAGAGCAAGGCCTGGGTGATGGCACAAGCTGGATCACGATACCCAAATTACAATGAAATAATCTTTTGTGATGTTTTCAGTCCATGGAAAAATTAAATTTTGGTCCCAAGCCCGAAAATTATAATTTCTAGTGGAGAACTCCAGCTGCTTTTATTGTTGTTTATGCCTGTTAGATCCTGGCCCTGCTGCAAATCTTCTGACCCGCCACGTCTGTCCAGTTCTGCTGCTGCTTCCAAACATCCCCTTTCACCAGGGAACATTCACTGGCTGCTCTGGTTCTGGTGGTATTTGAATAGCACCAGTTTGGAGCCCTTACTTGTGGGAACTTCTGCCAAAAACAAGCGGACACAGAACCAACAAAAAAAGAAAGAAGAAAAAGTTGGAAAATATGGTAAGGACACAATTTAAAGATTTGAAGGTGTTCAAATGGTTTAATAATTACTGGAAGATGTGGCATTAACCCCTGGCCAGCTCCCTCTCTGTCAGGACCTGGGCAGCAAAGCCACTCGCTGTGTCTGCCAGACTGGTCACGCTGCAGCACTTCAGTGTGGGGAGATAAAATTTGTCTGGGCCAAAACAGATAAAAACCATCAGTTTTTACTGATGGTTTTTACTGTTACAGCAGTAACAGTTGTGTTACTCTACTTCACTGAAATATAACGTGTTGGAAATGAAGCAATCACTGGAGCTGTCTCTGAGTGACACTTCAGAGGAGTAGCTGAGTTGATGAGAAGCTCAACGTGCCCTGGCCCTGGGCACTGAGAGCCCAGAACCCCCCGTGCCCTGGGCTGACCCCACAGCGTGGGCAGCAGAGCAAGGGGGATTCTGCCCCTCTGCCCCTCAGGTAAGACCCCCCTGCAGAGCTGCTCCAGCCCTGGGGAACAGCACAGGAGGGACATGGAGCTGCTGGAGAGAGTCCAGAGGAGACACCAAGATGATCAGAGGGTTGGAGCCCCTCTGCTCTGGAGCCAGGCTGGGAGAGCTGGGGGGGTTCCCCTGGAGAAGAGAAGGCTCCAGGGAGAGCTGAGAGCCCCTTCCAGGGCCTAAAGGGGCTCCAGGAGAGCTGGAGAGGGACTTGGGATAAGGGATGGAGGGACAGGACAAGGAGGAATGGCTTTCCCATGCCAGATGGCAGGGATAGATGGGATATTGGGAAGGAATTTCTCCCTGTGAGGGTGGTGAGGCCCTGGCATAGGATGCCCAGAGAAGCTGTGGCTGCCCCTGGATCCCTGGAAGTGTCCGAGGCCAGGTTGGACGGGGCTTGGAGCAACCTGGGCTGGTGGAAGGTGTCCCTGCCCATGGCAGGGGGTGGCACTGGATGAGCTTTAAGGTCCCTTCCATCCAAACCAGTCTGTGGTTCTAACTCATTCCATGACTGGGCAGGTTGAACACGTGGAGTGCTGCTGGTCCAGAGTGTGTGAGAGGCCAAATGATGAACAGCAGCTCCCCGTGATCTGGTATTTATGAAGGAGGAATTAAAGGTTGTCTCCAAAAAACGTGCTTGGTCTGGTAGGAACATCTGAGAGACGTATTCTCCATTACTCTTTAACTGGGAATATGGCAGGGCGTGGATTTGCTGGTCAGCACAGAATGGCAACAGGTGCTGTCTCTTTGGGTGTTGGAGTTTTCAGTGAAGGAAAAAAAACCAGGATTTTGCAGCATCCTCCAGATCTGGGTGTGCAGAACAAAAATGGGTCTGGAGATCTTAAAACAGAAGGATGCATTGCTTCGGATCTGGGAGTACGGGGTTATATCCAAACTCCTCCTCCTCCTCGCGGGCTCCGTCGGTACCCACCTCAGCGGGAGGAGGATCTCGTTTCCATGTCAGAATCCAGATTGCTGCTTTGGCAACGAGAGTCAGTGCTGTGCTGGCGGGCTGCTCCAGCACCCGGCGGGCTGCGGGGCTCTGCGGGTGCGGCCCCCGCTGCTCCCCGGCCGGGCCCGGGCCCCGCGAGCGGGGGGCGCTGCGATCCCGGCCGGGAGAACGAGGAGGATGAGGAGGAGGAGGATGCTCCGGTGGGGCTGAGCGAGTGTCCCCGCGGAGGCGCCTTGACGGACTCTCCCGAGCCGCTCCCAGCTCCGGCTCCAGGCTCCGACCGCGGGGAGCAGGGTCCCCCCGGACCCCCCTTCCCAGCGCCGGCGGGTCCCCGCGCAACATCTGTAAACACCCATCCTCCGGCGGGGCGGGCGGAGGGGCTGGGGCCGTCCCCATCCCCGGCTCCATCCCATCCCTATCCCATCCCCATCCCTATCCCACCCATATCCCATCCCATACCTATCGCACCTCTATCCCATCCCATCCCCACCCCTATCCCATCCCATTCCTATCCCACCCCTGTCCCATCCCTATCGCACCCCTATCCCACCCCAGCCCATCCCATCCCAGCCCGCTCCCAGCCGGTCGGGGCGGTGCTGCGGTGGCTGCGCAGCGGCGGCGGGCGGGGCGGGCCGGGGGCGGGCGGCCCCGGCGCTTTAAAGCGGCCGCGGCGGTCGCGGTGCCCAGCGCCGGGAGCCGGGAGCGCGGCGGGCAGGGCGGGCGGGAGCGGCCGAACCCCGCAGCCCTCCCCGGCCATCCCGCCCGGCCCGGCCCCTCGGGAGCGCGGGGCAGCGCCGGGGGCGGCGGCGGCGGCATCACCATGGTCGGGCCGGGCCGGCTGCTGCGGCTGCTGGCGCTGCTCGAGCTGCCCTGCTGCCTCCTGGAGCTGCTGCTCGGGGAGGCGGCCCGCGGGCAGGAGATGTACGCGCCCCACTCCATCCGCCTGGAGGGGGACATCACCCTGGGCGGCCTCTTCCCCGTGCACGCCAAGGGCCCCCCGAGCTCGCCCTGCGGGGACATCAAGAAGGAGAACGGCATCCACAGGCTGGAGGCGATGCTCTACGCGCTGGACCAGATCAACAGCGACCCGGACCTGCTGCCCAACGTCACGCTGGGCGCCCGCATCCTGGACACCTGCTCCCGGGACACCTACGCGCTGGAGCAGTCCCTCACCTTCGTGCAGGCGCTCATCCAGAAGGACACCTCCGACGTGAGGTGCACGAACGGCGAGCCGCCCGTCTTCGTCAAGCCGGAGAAAGTAGTTGGAGTGATCGGGGCGTCGGGAAGTTCCGTGTCCATTATGGTGGCCAACATCCTCCGGCTCTTCCAGGTAGGGCTGCCGGCGCCGGGCCGGGCGGGTGCCGGAGCCCCGGGCCGTGGCGGGGGGCTCTGCCGCCGCTCCCCGCTCCCCTCGTGCCTCTCCAGGTGCTCCATCCGCCTCCCTCCGGAGCAGCTGCCTTCCCTCCCTGCCGCCCTCCCCGTTCCAGCATCCTCCCCCGGCTCCCTTCTCCACGGTGCGTGGCGCTTTCTGGATTTATCGCCCCATTTGCACGAAGCGATCCCTGAGGGAAAGGAGAAAAAAAAAATAGGAGAGGAAAAGGCGATGGTTGCGCTGGGTTTGCGTTACTGAGAGCCGTGGCTCGGCGGGGATGCGGGCGCAGGGCATCCCAGCGGGACACGGCCGGGACACCGCGCGTGGAAGCCCCGGCGGGGCGGGGCAGGAGCTGGGGCCGCGGCCGCTCACGGCCCAGCGGTCGCGGAAGGTCTGGAAGGGGTCGGAGGGAGCTTTCCCCGGCGGCTCTTGACCGAGATAGGGCTGTGCGGAGCAGCTCCAGCAGCAGCCCCTTCCCGGGTCGGGGTCTCGCTGCCCCCCGGCCCCGTCTGGACGGAGCGGGGACCCGGCAGGGACCCGGGGCTGGGGGCGGCTGCAGCCCGGGAGCGCCGCTCCGCGCCCGCCGAGGCTCCGGCGGCTCCAGGAGGAGCCGAGGGATGAGCCGAGCCAGAGGATTAGAGAACCGTGTGAGTGTGTGCGGGGGAGATGCGCTGCAGCGCCTGCCCGTTTTCCCCCCCCGTCTTCCCTCTCAGCCCCCGAGCGTGCTGCGATCGTGCCCCTCTCGCCCCCCGGGGCTGAACCTCCGTGGGTGTCGGGGCACGGAGACTTGTCACCCCCCGCTCCATCCTCCTCCCCTTCTCCGGTGCCCCAAGCCCAGGAGCGGCCATCTGGCCGGGGCTGAGCAGGGCTTCGGTCCCCGGAGGGATGGGGGTGTCCCCCCGGGATGGGGCATCCTCCCGGGGCCCCGGTGCAGCCGCCGAGCCCCTCAGCGAGCCCCGGGTGCTCCTCGGCAGCGATCGCGGGTGCGGTGACAGTGACAGAAGCGCCACCAGATGCATCGTGAGCAGCGGAGTTCCTCGCTCCCTGTCCTACGCCTTCGCATGCGGAAGGTGGTGGTGGGGTTTATTTTTTATTTTTGTACAGCGGGCGGAGAGATCCCCCGCTTTTCCCAGCTGGAAACTTGTGAGGTTTTCACGGCAAATCCACTCTGTGCTGTCAGCAGCCGCCGATCCTCCGTATTCCCATCTGTCCGTGCCAGCTCCGGCCGCTGCAGCCGAGGCGAGCGGAGCGCTGCGCCTTCCCACCGCTGCCCCTCGCTCTGCCCAGCCGGGCTCCGTCCTGCCCGTTTCCCTGAAGGAACACCGAGGATCTGGTTTTTCCCTGCTCGCCTCCCCGCCCGGGCACGTTCAAACGCGCTGTATGGCCGCGGATCCAGCGCTGTGCTGAATCCCCGACAATTCGTGCGGCCCCATCGCGCCCGTCTCCTCTTCCCGGCGCTGCCTCGGCGGGCGCAGCCCCGCTGGAGCGTGAGGGAGCCTGGCACCGCTCCCACCCCGGGCTGCCTCCCGCTCCACGCTCCTCGCATCGCAAACACCCTTCCCGGGCTGCGAACCAGATGATCTCATGTTCTGCGTGAGCCGAGCCGCGGAGCGGGGAGGGATGAGCGGAGCTGAAGTTGTGCTGAAGTACCGGCTCGGCAGCTGCTGAGCTGCTCGAGGCTCCCACCGGCCAGGAGGGCGGAATTACCCAGCTGTTCCACACCGGGTCTCGTCCCAGAGCAAATCCTGGGCGCTCCCTTCCGAGATCTAGTTCAGAAGGAAATCCTGGGCATCGGGAGCCTTTGGGATAATGCCACAATACCTGCAAAATCCGTGGTGACTCATTACGTAATGGAGTTTGCAGAAAATAAGATATTTAGACGGTTTCTGCATTTCTGAGATACTTGTATAAACTAAATATTTTAATATATTGTGACGAAGCATCTGTTCAAAATTGCTTTTCAACCAAATCATCTAGAAAGCAGGAACTGGCCCATACTGAGAGATTTTACTGAATATATATTTTACGGCTTGGTTCAGCTGCCTTTAAGCAGATCTTTCATGCAGTAAAACTGTCCCCTATTGTCCTCTCCTCCTTCAAACACGGTTCAGAACATGTTCCAGCCAGAGAGAAATAGAAAAGAACTATTTTTGGAGGAGAACTGGACCTGTTAAGCAATTAAATGCCATTGTGTGGCAGTGGGTGAGAAGCTGTAAGCTACTGGAAGGAAGAAAACCAAGTAGCCAACACAAAAATCTTGTGAGCCTTTTAAATACTCTCTGAAATTCTTGAGTGTTGCAGCCAGCGTGACACTCAGGGGTCACTGTGGGTCCAGTTTGCTTCTCAGGGGTCAATATGGATTTTACTGGCTGTGGCAGTGGGGTGAGAGGTGAGTGAGTGGCTCTTGAACACTTATTTTCATTTCCAGAATGGCTTTTCCCTCACATCTGGTAGATAAAAACTCTTTCCATCTGTGGAGGCTCCTGCAAAGAAATCTTACCTGTGTTTATATTTCTCTGTCAGCATCTTGGAAGAGAAATATTTGTGCTCTATCTTAATGTCGGGGGCAAATCCCTGTGTGTGTGTAACCAAACGGGGCACAGCAGGGGCTCCTCAGCCAGCTCCTGATGCTTCTGGCTCTTTCTCCTCAGGATGGGGAAGGTTCAAGCTCCTCATTCTCCTCTCTGCATTTGAAGTTCTGATAGCTCTCCATGCAGCTCCCCTGCCTGTTCCCAATCCACCACGGAGGGTTGGGAGCATCTTCAGCTGCTGCCAACAGGTGGATCAGCTTAGGAAGGCAGTTCCTCTGCCAGGGTCCTCTGGCTGGAACTCATCCGTGTAATTACTGTTGGAATTTGTAGGAGATTTCCTTTGGTTAAAAAAAAAAAAAGGTGATGTGAAGCTTCCAAGAGACCTGGGCTTGTTCCTGTGTGATGAGTCCCTCCCCCTGTCTCTGCACCTCTCTCCTCACTTATCCCTGAACTGCGCCTTGGATTGAAGATGGTGGGAATAGTTGTGGGGGGGGTTTCCTCCCGGAGTGTGGGGATGGCACGGAGTCCCAGCTGGTGCTGGAGCCAAGGGAAGCTGTAACCCCCCCTCTCCTGCCTGCCTGAGCTGTCTGTGCTGGTGGAGCCAAGCTGGGACTCAGGAGGAGTGGTCACCACTCCCCCTGAGTCACACAGGAGGTGTGGACACGCTGGTGGGCACAGAAATTGCCAGCGGGGACAGGATGCCTCCTAAGGCCGTATGTGTGAGGATTCCTCTTCCAAAATGACAACAGATGAGAGGTGGAACTGCCAAGCTTTTACCCCCAGGTTCAGTATCTGCCATTGCCAAGGACTCTGTGTGGGACCTTCCATGAGTTACTATGGTTAAAACATCCAAGAACATCTTCAGGAGCAGGTCAGACCCCCCAGCTGAGCAGGGCTGGGTGTCTGACCCTCTGGAAGCCAGTGCAGATGAGCTCTCCAGCCTGGCCGTGGCTCCTCCTGGGAGGGGTTGAGCTGGGAGATACCCCTGCTTGGATGCTTTATTTTTCCATCCCTGTTACTGACCTCCCTCCTCTCCAGCAGCAGGGTGGCAGTGCCCTGACAGGAGTTACAGTGGGACACTGTGCCCTCTGTGAGTGCATCCCCCCCTTCTCCTGGGGGCTGTACCCCATCCCCATCCGGCTGGGAAGGGGCTGCTCAGCCAGGAATGTGGGAGCAGGGCTGTGCCCAGGAGTGTGCCCAGCCCCAGGGCTGTGAGCCCAGGAGTGTGCCCAGCCCCAGGGCTGTGAGCCCAGGAGTGTGCCCAGCCCCAGGGCTGTGAGCCCAGGAGTGTGCCCAGCCCCAGGCCTGGCTGTGCTGCAGCTCCTCGGATTAATGCACCACGAGGGACAAGCTGGTGTGTGCTGGAGCGTGGAGATGTTGGTGCACCAACACTCAAGGATGTCAGTGACTTTTTCAAAACACAGTTCTATTAGAGCACACCAATAAATAGCAGGGTGATTGTAAATTAAATATCTCTCCTAAAAATAACAGAGAAACAATTTGGAAAGCTGTTTCCAAATGCATCAGGGAGTTCAAGGCTGTATGACTTTAGGCTGCTGGTTTTGCTTTGGAAAAAGTACTGCTCTTTTGCAGGGTCGTGGCTTTCCTTACAAATTTAACTCCATGAAAATTCAGTAACTGCGCTGAAAAAAACATTGCCAAGTGTTTCATATTTTCTGGGAGTTAAACTATTCAATATGAGGAATAACAGCATCCTGATTTCTTTTTTTTTTTTTTTTAACACTATAAAACTAATTTTTGGGCTCCCTTACAACTGCAGGCTTCTCATGACAAGCTTTAGCAATGAACAAATTATTGCTTTGGGTTTGTGTCTTTGGTGGATGTAATTTGAAAGAGTCAATCAATAATTGCTTGTTCTTCTCTAAATACCTTTCTGATTTTATCAGGGGTGGCTCTTGTGGCCCAGAGGGGGCTGTTAAAAAACTCAGGGAATTTTTTTAGTTAGAAAAGTGGGATAAGGGAGTGCAGTGAGGTTGGGAGTGTGAATTGGAACGTGCCTGGTCTCCCTGGGGGCTGCTGGCTGCTTTTCCTTCCTGCTGAAGGAGGGAGATGACAGTTGCAGTCCCACCTTCTGCTCCAGACACAGTAATCACAAAAATGGGATTATTTGGAAAGGGATAGAGCTTAGAAATGCAGCTCTGAGCTGGATGTTGCTCTTTCCTTGGAAATTGCACACCCTTTTCCAAGGCTTTCTGAGGGAGGATGTCCTGGCTGAGCTGTGGTTCAGTGGGGATGGGATGGGATGGGGTGAGGATGGGATGAGATGGGATGGAGCTCTGCCTCAGCTGCTGGTTCCAGGGAATGATGGAAACACTGGAGCTGCTGCTGCTGAGAGTGCAGCTCAGGCACAGGGAACAGGGGCTGTGTGAGAAGGGCTGGGCAGAACCTGTGATCCCGTGGCTGCAG